CTTCTCTATCTTTTCCCTCCCTCCTTCTTCTTTCTCTTTCCCCCCTCTCACTTTTTTCTTTCTCTTTTCCTTCCTTTCTTCCCTCTTTCTCATTTCCCCCTTCCTTCCTTCCTTTCTCTTTATCTCCCTCTTTCTTGCTGCCTTCTTTCTCTTTCCCCTTCCTTCCTCTTTTCTTCCTTTCCTTCTTTCACCTTTCTCTTTTCCTCCCTCCCTCTCTCTTTCCTCTTTTCTTCCTTCCTTCTTTCCTTCTCTATCTTTTCCCTCCTTCCTTTTTTCCGTCTTCTTTCTTTTTTCTCCTCTCTCACCTTTTTTCTTTCTCCTTTCCTTCCTTTTTTCTTTTTCTTTCTCTTTCTCTCCTTCTTTCTTGCTGCCTTCTTTCTCTTTCTATCTCTTTCCTCTTTTCTTTCTTTCCCTCTTTCACCTTTCTCTTTTCTTTCCTCCCTCCCTCCCTCTTTCCTCTTTTCCTTCCTTCTCTCATTCTCTTTCCCTCTCTCGCATTCTTTTTTCTTCTTTCTCTTTTCCTCCCTCCCTCTCTCTCTCTCTCCCTCTTTCCAAACCCTCTTAGCCCAAGGGGAACCTCAAGTGTAGACACGCTCGGTGTGGTTGGATTCAACTTGCCGTCTTCTCTGGAGCCCACACACAAAATTCCTGAGTCGCGTCCAAGTTAAAGAATATTCCGGCTCACAAGACGCATGACTCATCCACGTTTCCTATTTGATTTTGATCGGGGCCCTCCCCTCCGCCCCTCTCGGCTTTCAGGGATAGATCCAAAAGCACCCCAGAAAGCAATTTATTTTCAGGAATGTTTCCTACACACACACACACACGCATATATATATATATATATTTATATATATTCCCCGAGCGAGGAAGACGTTTTATCATGTGACCTCTCTCCTTGGCAGCAATGTGGTTTTCCAGAGAGGGAGGGGGCTCCACCTACCGCGAAGTTAACCCAGTTAAAAGCAGAGTTTCTTTTCTTTTCTTTTTTTTCTCCCCTATGAAACAACGCACAAAAACTCTGTGTGGCATTTTTCTCTGGGATAGGGAGGATTTATCGCCCAGGCTTGGGAGGTTTTTTTTGGGGGTGGCGGGGGGGCGGTCAGAGGTAAGACACAGCAGTGGTGTGTGGTTTTTGACCACCGGTAGACTTCAAGGTCGCTTCTGTTAAAAAGGATGGCATTTATTATTTATTTATTATTTATTAATCAAATTTCTATACTGCCCTACTCCCAAAGGACTCAGGGCGGTGAACAGCCAAGATAAAATACAGATAATAAAATATTTAAAAAATCCCTTAAAATTATTAAATATTTCGGCCGAAACACAGATTAAAACACCCAATTTATAAAATCACGAATTAAAAAATTTAAAAATTTAAAAGATGGTTATTTGGCATAACCCATTAAAAACATGTTTACTAGGAGAAACAGAGCGAGTTTGGCGCAGCAGCCCATCAATAATACTTATCCGGGCAAAGCCCAGCAAACTTTTTAAAAGAACAAAAACACGGCGAAGCAAAGACATACGATAATATGCCAACAATGCATAAATCACATCGTCTGACATGACGTGATGGTTAAGACAACAGGCTGGAAACCGGGACTGTGTGGGGTCCTCGGTTTGTTTTGTTTATGTTTTATTAAATTTGTATACCGCCCTACTCCCGAAGGACTCAGGGCGGTGAACAGGCACAGGATAAAATACAGAAGTACAAAAGTTAGAAACAATTTAAAACCAAATTAAATAATTTAGCCCACGACAGTTTAAAATCCCAATAATTTAAAAACAAATTAAAATTTCAGTTTAAAAATTTAAAAGAAAGGGGAGAAAAATGAGGCCAGGCCTCGGTGCTCTCTGAGCTTGGTGGTTTTCTTGCAAACGTTTCATGACCCAACTCGGTAACCTCATCAGTGCTAGAAGGGAGAAGGGTTTGCAGAGAGGAGGAGGAGGATGTCTGTGGGGTCCTTGGTTGTTTTCTTGCAGGCGTTTCATGACCCAGCTAGGTAGCCTCATCAGTGCTACGAGGGAGCGGGATTTGCTGTTTATAAATAATGTAACCCCACCCCCTTCTAGCACTGATGAGGTTACCTAGTTGGGTCATGAAACGTTTGCAAGAAAACAACCGAGCTCAGGGAGCACCAAGGACCCCACAAGTTATGCTCTCTTCTGTTGGTAGAAACGGGGAGGCTGTGGGTTCTAGCCCCACCTTAGGCTTATAGCCAATCTGCTGACTTTGGGCCAAACTCTTTCCATCCTAATAGCATTTACATTTAAATACCGCTTTATAGTGCTTCCCAGCCCTCTCTAAGCCGTTTACAGAGCCAGCCTCTTGCCCCCCAACAATCTGGCTCCTCATTTTACCCGCCTCGGAAGGACGGAAGGCTGAGTCAACCTTGAGCCTGGTGAGATTCGAACCGCCAGACTGCTGGCAGCCGGGGATCAGCAGAAGTAGCCTGCAGTACTGCACTCTAACCACTGCGCCACCGCGGCTCGTAAGAAAGAAGATAGCGCTTGTCCGGAACGGAAATCCAGTGGGAATAAGAGCTAAAGGTTGTAAGCTATGACCCCCATTAAGTGCCATGCATTTCTCCGTCCTACCAGCAGTAGCTGCTGGTGCGAGTTAACACAAACGGAAGGGTGTAGTTGGAGATAATGGTTGCTGGGGGAATGTGCCCTCTAGTGACAGTACAATTCATTGCACCATTCATTGTGAATGGGTCCTTGGAAGTCGGGCTGGGAGGGGAGCAGTCAGTAGCAGGGTTCCCATTGCTTTGAAAATCTACTTTATAGTGGATTAAGCCTGCAGACTAGAGACCCCTAAAAGTTGCTGTTTTAATGCTGGTAGATGCGGTATAATCTGACCTTGTTATGTGCCGTGTGGATAGGATATTATTGGTAGGATGTTATTGATTGATTTGATTTGATTTATATTTCTGCCTATTCACACACGGCGACTCAAGGCGGCTTACAAGAATACAAAAACATCATATAAAAAAAAAAAACATTAAAACTAATAAAAGAGAGAATCGTATGTAGAATCATCAGAGCCGAGATGAGCCAGTGGCAGAGGTGGGTTTCAGCCGGCTCTGACAAGTTCTGGAGAACCGGTAGCGGAAATTTTGAGTAGTTCAGGGGAACCGGTAGTAAAAATTCTGACTGGGCCCAGCCCCCATCTATTCTCTGCCTCCCGAGTCCCAGCTGATCGGGAGGAAATGGGGATTTTGCAGTAACCTTCCCCTGCCACGCCCACCAAGCCATGCCACGCCCACCAAGCTACACCCACAGAACCGGTAGTAAAAGAAATTTGAAACCCACCACTGCGCGGTGGTTAGAGTGCAGCACTGCAGGCTACTTCAGCTGACTGCTAGCTGCAGTTCGGCAGTTCAAATCTCACCGGCTCAAGGTTGACTCAGTCTTCCGTCCTTCTGAGGTTGGTAAAAATGGGGACCCAGATTGTTGGGGGGCAAAAGGCTAACTCTGTAAACTGCTTAGAGAGGGCTGTAAAAGCACTGTGCAGCGGGATATGCTATTGGTATTGCCCTTCCTTCCTTCCCTCCTCCCTTCCTTCCTTCCTTCCTTCCTTCCTTCCTAGTAGCTAGAATGCAGCATTGCAGGCTAACTCACTGCTCACTGTTCGATCCTGACCGGCTCAAGGTTGACTCAGCCTTCTCTGCACTCTTTCTAGAGCCTCAGACATCATTGCACATCAATGATGACATCAAGAATTGGACATCATCCTTCATGGTCTCTCATCCTCTCTCTCTCTCTCTCTCTCTCTCTCTCTCTCCTTAGCCCCAAAAGCCGCCTGATCCAGTTAAAGAAAGAAAAACTGGAATACACGCCCGGAGAGCACGAATACGGCTTATTCCCTGCGCCTATTCACGTAGGTGAGTGACGACCACGGTCTCTGTTGCTTTTGAGGGAAGGTCTCCTCCTCCTCCTCCGACTCAACTCTGGAAGAACTATGTGACATGTGCAGCTTTCTTTGGAAGGCGGGGTGGGTGGGTGACCGGGTGTCATGAAGGAGGTACGTTGTGGGGTCAGAATTTAGCCAACGATTGCTGTTCCTCAAGACAAGAGCCCCCTCCCCCCCCCCAGGACACCAGACTTCCCCCCAGGATGCCAGACACCTTCCTTTACTAGAATTAGAGTCAGTTTGATGTAGGGTTAAGACACCAGGCTAGAAACCAGGAGGTTGGGAGTTCTAGTTCCGCCTTAGGCATGAAAGCCGGCTGGGTGACTTTGGGCCAATCACCAGGAGGCTGGGAGTTCTAGTCCCGCCTTAAGCACGAAAGCCAGCTGCGTGACTTTGAGCCAATCACCAGGAGAAAGAGAGTTCTAGTCCCGCCTTAGGCATGAAAGCCAGCTAGGTGACTTTGAGCCAATCACCAGGAGACGGTGAGTTCTAGTCCTGTGTTAGGCACGAAAGCCAGCTGGGTGACTTTTGGGACCACTCCCTCCTTCTCAGCCACCTCACAGGGTTGTCGTTGTGAGGAAAATAGGAGGAGGAAGGGAGCTTTAAGTATATTCCCCAACCTTGAGTTATTCCTAAAAACAATAAAAAAGCAGGGTTTAAAAAAAAAATCAAACAAATTTAATATATATATATACATACATACATACATACATACATACATACATACATACATACATACATACATATATATATACGAATGTCCCTGCTGTGCTTCCAGGCAGAAAAGAAAAGACCCCCTGCCCCTACTACCATCGTTTTCCCAAACGTTTGGAACTTTTAAAACTCCCAAGCAATAAAATATGCAAGGTTTTGAGTTCAGCAAGATGGATTTCATGGGTTTTTTTGTTTTTTAAAAAACTCCCTTCTTCCTGGTTTTCCCCTTGAAAGCATATAGACCCATTCAGTACTTGGTTCCATTCCATGGGGTTGTTTTTTTTCCCCCCTTAAAGGGTTTGCAACCCTGAATCCGTGCGAGGAAGCCAGGTTTGCATTCCCGAAGTGGGTGTGGGCGTGACTTTTCCCCACAACGGGAGGAGGAGGGCAGGGGGACATTTAAAACACACAGCCCGTCGTCTTCCCCAATTATGGCAAACACCCTCCACCATGTTTATAGTTACAGGACAGAGGCAGCCTGCCAACGGTAACAATAACCTGGAACTGGGCCAGCGAGGAGGCCTGGCACTGGCCGCCAGTCCGAGCTGCCTCTTCCCCCAGGCCGAGAATCCGCCTCGTGCAGTCCCACCCAGCCTCCTTCGCTCCTCCCACCCCCCACCCCCCAAATTCACAAGAGAGGAAAGCAGCAGGAGAGGAAAGCCCTCTCCCCCCCCACACACACATCTTTTGACCTGAGTGTCTATGGAGGCTCTCAAGTCATCCAGGTTGTCTCAAAGGTGTTTTTTTTTTCTAAGAAGCCACTGGACTCTCTGGTTATTCTTTTGAAGACGTTTCACTTCTCATCCCAAGAAGCTTCTTCCGCTCTGACTGGATGGTGGGGAATAGAAGGATTGATCTTCCTGGCAGGCAGCTGGTCATTTGCATCCTTTCAGAGGGTCGTTGAGGCCGCTTGGAGGTTTCTCTGAGTGGTGCAAATCGTTTATTATTTATTTATTTATTTATTTATTGGTTCGATTTTATATGCCGCCCTTTCTCCGGAGACTCAGGGCGGCTTACAATGCGTTAAGCAATAGCCTCCATACTTTTGTGTATACCTGCTTAGTAGGGCTTTCGGGCCCCCCCTAAGCGGTGTTCTTTTTTTTCATACAAAGTCAGCTTATTGCCCCCACAAACCGGGTCCTCATTTTACCTACCTCGGAAGGATGGAAGGCTGAGTCAACCTTGAGCCTGGTGAGAATTGAACTCGCAGTAATGGCAGGCAGCTAAGTGCTACTTTAACAGCAGTTTAATCCTCTGCGTCACCAAGGCTCCTGTAGTCTACAATTTTTCCTCTGGAATTCCATTTCTATCCCCACACCGTTCCAAGGGTGTCCATCCCAAATTGTGTTGCTAAATGCCTGTAGAGATTCTCCGTCATCCAAGGTCACAGTTGTCCCAAAGGTGCTTTTTTCAAGAGGCAAGTGGACTTTTCTGGGGTTTTTGTTCTTTTGAAGACGTTTCGCTTCTCCTCCGAGAAGCTTCTTCAGCTCTGACTGGATGGTGGGGAATGGAAGGATTGATACTCCTTGCAGGCAGCTGGTCATTCGCATCCTTTTTAGAGGGTCGTTGAGGCCACTTGGAGGTTTCTTTGTGTCCTCAGTGTCACTTGAGCCTTCTTCTCGCTCATTTGTACCATTCAAGGTGACTCTGAGGACACAGATAAACCTCCAAGTGGCCTCAACGACCCTCTAAAAGGATGCAAATGACCAGCTGCCTGCAAGGAGTATCAATCCTTCCGTTCTCCACCATCCAGTCAGAGCTGAAGAAGCTTCTCAGATGAGAAGCGAAACGTCTTCAAAGAAACGCCAGAAACTCCGGTTGCCTCTTGGGGAAAAAAAGCACTTTTGGGACTTCCAGTGCTGAGCTGATCCCACGTTGTCTTTGGCGAAGGAAACCTGGCAGGACCGAGGGGCATCGGTAGAATGCCAGTGCCAATCTTGCTTGGTCCCCTCGTGCTAAAACAGCCTGTGTAGGAATTTGTGAATTGGGAAGAGGGACCTACAGATGGATTCCCTTCTTCCCTTCTCCAATCCCAGCCTGCCGTTTCCTTGGGACCCTCCGGGAAAGATCAGGCTGCATTCATGAGATCCTCGCCCCGAGGATCTCATGAATCACAGGATTATTTCTCTGCCTCGGCCAACTCAGCCGGGTGGCTCCTTTTTATTTTGAGGGCGAGAGGGAGCGTTCCCCATTCTCCGGGCCAGCTGCCAGGCTCTTGAAAGAGGCTTTTGTTTCCCTCCAGTGAGGTCATAGAAGTGAAAACAGATTCCCAGCAGATTCGGCCGCTTCCTGGAACTCGCCCGAGCGCAACTCGAGGCTCTGGAAAATCCGAACAAATGTTAAAAGAGCCCAACTTGTCAGCGGCTTCCTCTCCTCTCCCTTTCGCTTCTTGCAAAGAAGTCCCAACTCGGGGACTTTTCGCTCGCTTCTGTGGCTCTGATGCCCTCCAGATGTCTTGGGCTTCCAATCCCAGAATCCTCAGCCCCAGCCAGGGGGATTCTGGGAAGTCTGAAGTAGACAAGAGCCTCTCTGAATTCAGTTCTCTGGCTAAAAGGAAACGAATCGACACCTGTGGAACAGGCTGGCTGTGAATTCAGGGCCACGTCGCAGCCGTAACCAGCTGCTCTTCCGGATTCCATCACACGCGTGCACGCCGGCCATCTGCTCTCTTCTCAGGCACGTGTGTGCATATGCACGCATGTGCGCTCCATTTTTGACACGCGGTGCCGAAAAGGCTAACCATCACTGTCCTAGATCTAGTTTAGGATTTAGACATGCTGTTGATTTTTTAAAAAATTATTAAATATTTATTAAATGTACACGCCCATCATCTCACCGTCAAACAATTCTGGGCCATTTCAGAGCCAGGTTGGAAAGGAGTAAAAATGCCTCTTTAGTCATTAAACCTCTCGGTTGCCCAGCCTTGGTGTAAATCGGGAGTAGAGCAGCCGCGGTCAAACTCTTGTAATTCCTCATTTTCCTTTCGGTGAGATCTCCCCGGCTGGGCGTTTTGGAATTTTAATTCAGCAACGCGGGGTGCGTTCGTGGCTTACTCTCTGTTAGCTTTCCTGCAGGGAACGGCGAAGTAATTTAAGCAGACCCTATTGTATAAGAGGCGCAGTACCTCAGTGGCTAAGACGCTGAGCTTGTCGATCTGAAAGGTTGGCAGTTCAGCGGTTCGAATCCCACGTGCCGTGTAATGGAGTGAGCTCCCGTTCCTCGTCCCAGCTTCTGCCAACCTAGCAGTTCGAAAGCACGTAAAAAAAAAATGCAAGTAGAAAAAATAGGGACCACCTTTGGTGGGAAGGGAACAGCGTTCCGTGCACCTTTGGCGTTGAGTCATGCCGGCCACATGACCACGGAGACGTCTTCGGACAGCGCTGGCTCTTCGGCTTTGAAACGGAGATGAGCACCGCCCCCTAGAGTCTCAGAGGACTCTCAGAGGGAGCCCTAACGACCAGAGGACTGCGGGGAGTACAAATCCTTCCAATCCTCCACCGTTCAGTCTCAGAACTTGAAGAGGCTTCTTGGGTGAGGGAAGCGAAACGTCTTCGAGGAAAAACCGAGTCCAGTTGCCTTTTGAGCAGACGCCTTTGGGGCTGTTTGCAAAATAATAATAATATTGGATAAGTGGAGAAAAATCAAGGTTTTACACCTAGGCAAGGAAAAAAACCAAAGATACAAGTACAGATTGGGCGAAACCTGGCTCAAAAACACCTGAAGGCAGGACAAAGGAGTAACCGGTGGAAACTAACCAAGCAGAGAAGCAACCTGGAATTAAGGAGAAACTTCCTAACAGTGAGGCCAATTAACCAGTGGAACAGCTTGCCACCAGAACTTGTGGGCGCTCCATCACTGGAGGTTGTTAAGAAAAGACAGTCTCTTGTCTCCAATGGTATAGGATCTCCTGCCTGAGCAGCGGGGTAGGGGTGGGGGTGGGGGCTGGACTAGAAGACCTCCAAGTGTCCCTTCCAGCTCTATTCTGATCGGATGCATTTCTTCACTCCCCTCTCGCAGGGAAATACCTTCGGCAAAAGCGAATCGACTTTCAGTTGCCTTACGACATTCTCTGGCAGTGGAAGCATAACCAGGTAAGGGTAAGACCGGCGTCTGGTTCGAACGACCCAGGTTCGAATTCGGCATCCTCTTGTTTCCAGCGTCACCTGCTTTCTGCCGTGGCTGCCCTGAACTCAGCCAGCCGTCTTTTGTTAACGGCAATGGTTAAAAAGGGAAGAAGTTGAAGACATCATCCTTCCTTCCTTCCTTCCTTCCTTCCTTCCTTCCTTCCTTCCTTCCTTCCTTCCTTCCTTCCTTCCTTCCTTTTTCTCCTTCCGTCATTCTTCCCTTTCTTCTTTCCCCTTCCTTCCTCCCTCTTTTCCCCTTCCTTCCTTCCTTCCTACCTCCTTTCTCCTTCCTTCCTCCCTCCCTTCCTTCCATCCTCCTTCCCTCCTTTCCCCTCCCTTTCCTCCTCCCTTTCTCCCTCCCTCCCTTCCTTTTCCTCCTTCCTTTCTCCTTCCTTCATTCTTTCCTTCCTCCTTTCCCCTTCCTTCCTTCCTCCCTCCTTTCCCCTTCCTTCCTACCTTTCTCCTTCCTCCCTCCCTCCCTCCCTTCTTCTCTTCCTCCTTTCCCCTCCCTTTCCTCCTCCCTTTCTCCCTTCCTTCCTTCCTTTTCCTCCTTCCTTTCTCCTTCCTTCATTCTTCCCTTTCTTCTTTCCCCTTCCTTCCTCTCTCCTTTCCCCTTCCTTCCTCCCTCCCTCCCTTCCTTCCATCCTCCTTCCCTCCCTTTCCTCCTCCCTTTCCTCCTCCCTTTCCTCCTTTCTTCCTTCCCCTTTCCTCCTTCCTTTCTCCCTTTCTCCCTTCCTTCATTCCTTCCTACCTACCCACACAAAACTCTTTCCGTCACCTCTAACCATGCCTGCCTCTGCCTCCTCCCTCCCTGCCGTGCCCGAGCAACAGCAGTTGTTCTGCTGGCAAAACATGTCGTCTCTTAATCCTGCTGGGGACTTTTATTCTGACAGCAGCTCTTCAGCAAGGATATGTTGTGCATGGATATGTGTGTGTGAGTGTGAGACACCCCTCTGGAGAATTTAGATGTTCTGCCAACAGCCCTGAACAAAATTTCAGGCCTTATTTTTCTTGGATCTGGGCCCGAGGGGAAAAAAAAAGTTTTCTTCTTCTTCTTCTTCTTCTTCTTCTTCTTCTTCTTCTTCTTCTTCTTCTTCTTCTTCTTCTTCTTCTTCTTCTTCTTCTTCTTCTTCTTCTTCTTCTTCTTCTTCTTCTTCTTCTTCCTCTTCCTCTTCCTCTTCCTCTTCTTCTTCTTCTTCTTCTTCTTCTTTTCCCCCCACATTTTCTTCGTTTTATTTCTCCCGCCTTACAAACCAAAGGAGAGGAGATTCTTTATACCCAAAGTCCCTTCCAACTCTGTTCTTCTGCATTCTGAGCAAGGGGTTGGACTAGAAGACCTCCGAGGTCCCTCCCAACCCTGCGATTCTGTTCCTGTTCCTGGTGCAACGCAATAAACGGCCCTTTCTCCCTTTCCTTTCAGCTGTACAAAAAGCCAGATGTTCCACTTTATAAAAAGATCCGATCAAGTAAGTCCGTCCAGTGTTTGTAACGGCTTCCGGGGGAGGTTGGGAGGGGAGGGAGTCCCCAGAGAGCCTCCCCCTCGAGTCCCCTATACCCGTGATGGCGAACCTATGGCAGGCGTGCCCACAGGTAGCACCTGGAGCCATATCTGCGGGCACGCGAGCCGTTGCCCTAGCTCAGCTCCAGCACCCATGCATGTGCCGCCCAGCTGAATTTTGGCTCCCCATCCCACTCCACCCCCACCCCTCCCAGGAGTCTCCACGTGGCCCGTTTTGGATGCCAGGTAAGTACAAGGCTCGCACGGAGTCTCTGAGAGGGTGTTTTCGGCCTCCAGGAGGGACGGGGGAGGCTGTTTTAGCCCTCCCCAGGCTCCAAGAAAGCCTCTGGAACATGGGGAGGGTGAAAAATGGGCCCACTGGGGCCACCGGAAGTCAGGAAATAGGCCGGGGGGGGCATTGAGTTATGGCTGTGGGCACGTGCGGAAAAAAACCCGGTTCGCCATCACTGCCCTTATACCCCCCTCCCCATCCTTAGCCGGATTCAGGATCTCTTAACGCCTCATCCTGGGCCTTATTTCTTCCCCCACCCCCACCCCACACACCTACAGATGTTTATGTGGACGTCAAACCTCTGTCTGGTTACGAAGCCACCACTTGCAACTGCAAGCAGCCCGACGACAGCCGGAAAAGCGGGTGCCTGGACGACTGTTTGAACAGGTACGCGGCGCATTCGAATATAGGTAGTCCTTGGCTTAACGACGGTTCGTTTAGCAACCGAATGTAAAGCTCACCTAACCGCTGTTTCGCTTAGCAGCAGAAATTTTGGGCTCGGACTCCCTGTAATTGAGAAGGGAAGGGTTAGGGTTGGAGAGGAGGGGAAAGGAAAGGAAGGAGGAAGAGGAGGGAAGGGAAAGAGAAAAGGCGAGAAAAAGGGAGGAAGGAAGGAAGGAAGAGAAAGAAAGGGGAAGGGAAAGTTAGGCTGGTCTGGCCTAACCTTTCCCATTCTTTTTTAATGTAAATTTTAATTTGTTCTTAACCTGGGGTTTTAAATTTGTCTTGGGCTGAATTGATTTAATTCGATTTTATTTCTGCTCTTAATTTTTGTATTTTACGTGTTTTATTCTGTGCCTGTTCACCGCCCTGAGTCCTTCGGGAGTAGGGCGGTATACAAATTAAATTAAAATAAAAAAATAAAAAAAGGAACAAGGAAGGAAAGGAAAGGAAAGCACTGGAAAGGAACAAGAAGGGAAGGGGAGGAAAGGAAGGAGAAAGGAAAAGAAAGGAAAAAGGAAAGGGGAGGGGAGGAAGGGAAGGGGGAATGGAAAGGAAAAGAAAGGAAAGGAAAAGGAAAGAAAGAAGGAAGAAAGAAAGAAAGAAAAAAGGAAGGAAGGAAGGAAAGGAAGATAGAGGGAAGGAAAGAAGGAAGGGAAGGAAGGAAGGAAAGGAAGATAGAGGAAAGAAAAGAAAAGAAAAAAGAAAAGAAAATGTGGGAGTTGAAGTCCACACAACTTAAAAGTTGCCGAGGTTGAAGTTGTCAACTCCCACCCTGCTTCCCTTCCTGTCCCCTCCCACCCTGGCAGGGGAATTCTGGGAGCTGAAGTCCACCCTTCTTTAAAAAAAAAGCTTCAGCCATGAGATAGCTCCCTGGTGCCTTCTCACCACACCTGCCTTGCCTCTCCTTTCTCTCTCTCCCCCCCCCCCCAAACCTCAGGATGATCTTCGCCGAGTGTTCGCCGAACACGTGTCCCTGCGGGGAGCAGTGCTGCAACCAGCGCATCCAGAGGCACGAGTGGGTGCAGTGTCTCGAACGCTTCCGGGCGGAGGAGAAAGGCTGGGGCATCCGGACCAAGGAGTCCCTAAAAGCCGGGCAGTTCATCATTGAGTACCTGGGGGAGGTCGTCAGCGAGCAGGAATTCAGGTAAAGGCCCCGGGTGAAGGAGGAAGAAAAGGAAGCTGGGGAGAAATGCCTAGAATGACGGAGTTGGGAGGGACCTCGGAGGTCTTCTAGTCTGACCCCCTGATCAGAATACAGAATGACAGACGTGGAAGGGACCTTAAGAGGTCTTCTAGCTCAACCCCTTGCTCAGAAGACAGGATAACAGAATCGGAAGGGACCTCGGGAGCCCCCTCCCTCCCTCCCTCACATTTGTTCGGCTTTTCAGGAACCGGATGATTGAGCAGTACCACAACCACAGCGACCACTACTGCCTCAACCTGGACAGCGGGATGGTGATTGACAGCTACCGCATGGGGAACGAGGCCCGTTTCATCAACCACAGCTGCAACCCCAACTGTGAGATGCAGAAATGGTAAGTGCCCCCCTGCCCACCCGCTCCCGTCGGAAACCGCTTCCTGCCTTGGCGTGCCCCAGAAGCTCAAATCCAGGTAGTCCTCAACTTACAACAGTTCACTTAGTGACCAAAGTTACAACATCGCTGAAAAAAAGTCACTTGGGACCATTTTTCCACACTGTTGCAGCATCACGCGGTCAAAAATTCAGACGCTTGGCAACTGACTCACATTTACGACAGTCGCAGTGTCCCAGGGTCACGTGATCCGCCTTTGCGACCTTCCGACAACTAATGGGGAAACCAGATTCACTTAACAACAGTGTGACTAATTTAATAACCACAGTGATTCACATAACAACTAGGAGAGGTGCGGTGGCCTAGAGGTGGAGTTCTCGCCTCACAATCGGGAGGCTGTGAGTTCGATTCTAGGTAGAGGCAGATATTTCTCTCTCTGGGCACAATGAGAATATTATCTGCTGAACAAAACTCCGCTCTGGCAACAGGAAAGGCATCCGGCCAGTAAAACACTCTGCTAACTCCATTCAGTTTGCCAAGCTCCACCCTGCAAGGGATTACGGGTCGTTAAAAGAAGATGATGATGAGTAATTCACTTAACAACTGAGGCAAGGAAGGTCGTAAAATGGGGCAAAGCTCCCTTAACAACTGTCTCGCTTAGCAACAGAAATTTTTGAGGCTCCGTTTTGGTCGTAAGTCGACTTACCTGTACAGTCGCGCAGAGAAATGCATTAAAACCTAATTGTTGTGTTTGTGGGTTTTGTTTTGTTTTTTTAAATAATCTTTTTCATTTTCCTCTCTTTGCCTCCAGGTCGGTCAATGGCGTTTACCGGATCGGACTCTACGCTTTGAAGGACATGCCGGCCGGCACCGAGCTGACTTACGACTACAATTTCCACTCCTTCAACGTGGAGAAGCAGGTGAGGGCAGAGGGCTTTGGGGGGAGTGGGGGGGGGCTCTGTTCTTGGATCGTCTGACAGTTGGGTGACTTTGAGCCAGTCCCTTCCCTCTCGCAGGCTTGTTGTTGTGGGGAAAAATAGGAAGAGGAAGGAGATCTGTTGGCCCCCTTGAGTTACTTGTTCATAAAATACAGGAGAATAGAATAGAAAGTAGAATAGAAAATGGAATGGAATGGAATAATGGAATGAAGGAATAGAATAGAATAGGATTTAGAATAGAATAGAGTAGAGTAGAATAGAATCAGTGGAATGGAATGGAATGGAATGGAATGGAATGGAATGGAATGGAATGGAATAGAATAGAATAGAAAATATGGAATGGAGTGGAATGGAATGGAATAGAATAGAATAGAATAGAATAGAATAGAATAGAATAGAATTTAGAATAGAATAGAAAATAGAATAGAATAGAATTAGAATAGAATGAAGGAATAGAATACAATAGGATTCAGAATAGAATAATAGAATAGAATAGAGAATAGAATAGAATAGAATAGAAAAAAGAAAAGAAAGAAGAAAAGAGAATAGAAGAATAGAATAGAATAGAATAGAATAGAAAAAAGAAAAGAAAGAAGAAAAGAGAATAGAAGAATAGAATAGAATAGAATAGAAAATAGAATAGAAAAGAAGAAAAGAAAAAAGAAAAGAGAATAGAATAAAAGAATAGAATAGAATAGAAAATAGAATAGAATAGAATAGAATAGAAAATAGAATAGAAAAAAGAAAAGAAAGAAGAAAATAGAATAGAAGAATAGAATAGAATAGAATAGAAAATAGAATAGTATAGAAAAGAAAAAAGAAGAAAAGAATAGAATAGAAGAATAGAATAGAATAAAAGAATAGAATAGAATAGAATAGAATAGAATAGAATAGAATAGAATAGAATAGAATAGAATAGAATAGAATAGAATAACAAGAGTTGGAAGGGACCTTGGAGGTCTTCTAGTCCAACCCCGTGCTTAGGCAGAAAACCCCACACCACTTCAGACAAATGGTTGTCCAACCTCTTCTTAAAAAACTTCCAGTGGTGGTCCTTGACTTGCAACCCAGCATTTCTGTGGCCAAGTGAGACAGACGTTAAGCGAGTTTTGCCTCGTTTTACGACCATCCCACAGTTTAAGTGCATCACCGCCATTTTTAATTTAATCACAACGGCCGTTAATTGAACCTGGCTTCCCCATTGCCTTTGCTTGTCAGAAGGTCGCCAAAGGGGAATCCCATTTCAACCGTCATAAAATACGAGTCAGCTGCCGAGTGTTCTTAAATTTTGACCCTGGGACCCCAAGGATGCTGCCGTGGTCCTTCGTAACTTGGAACGGTCACTGAACAAAGTGCTGCATGTCAAGGACCCCCTTAAAGGGGGTTTGCAGTTCGGTCTTGCTTATCACTCCGGGGCGCCCTGGCTTCCCAAAGGAAACCCCCCCCTCCCCATTTAAACACCCCCGTTTGACTTCCCGTTGCAGCAACTCTGCAAGTGCGGCTTTGAGAAATGCCGAGGGATCATCGGCGGCAAGAGCCAGCGAATGAACGGCCTGCTCACCAAAGCCAACCAGATGGTCACGGCACAGAGGCGGCCGAGCCGGTCCAAAGAGAAGAGGAAGTCCAAGCACAAGTTGAAAAAGAGGGTGAGTTTGTATCCCAAGTTCACCTTTGCAGTTTAGGGTCAATCAGAGGCACATGTGAGGTTCAAAACAACAACAGCCTGGGGGGTGGGGCTTAAACCTCTGTTCTGCCCCAGCTACGGACCCCAAAGAACGCAGCACACACAAAGTTTGTACAAAACTTAATTTACTAAAATAACTCAAGTCTTTATCAAAAACAAAGGCTGTTAATAAACGTTTCTTCACAGCCTACAAGAAACCAAAGATAAAGTCACCACAATCTTACTAAGGTTGGCAGAAAGCCCCGAAGCAATTTGCAGAGAATCCAGACGCGAAGGAGAGTGAACTAAAGTTGTTCCCTGCAAATTGCTTCTGTTGACGTTCCTCCTTAAATAGGCTAAGGGAGTGGCCAATTAGCCCCAAGCCTTACTCTCGAGGAGACCTCCTCCTGAGGAGCCACTCCTGCCTTTTGGCCGCTCTGTGCGCCCGTGCATCGAGAAGAGGCTCCTCCTCTTCTTCCTCTTCACTTATGGGAGCTTCTGGAGGTTCTGGAGGCCCTGGCTGAATCCCCGCTTCTAGCACTACATCGTCTCCAGCCTCCTCATTGTCCGACTCAAGTGCCAGCTGCACAGGCTGCTGGCACAGCACCACACCAGCCTCCTCGGGTCCTAAGTCACTTTTTCCAGTGCCGTTGTAACTTGGAACGGTCACTAAACGAACTGTTGTAAGACGAGGACTACCTGTAGCATCCCGGTCGTCGCTGGGATTAGGAAGCAGGTAGCTTCAGGTGACAATTCTGTCCTTCACTTCAGTCGCCCGCAGCCCCCATCAACATTTCAGAAGTGGCCAAAAACTTCTGTTTTCGTCATAGCGGGGAGGGTAAAACCATAGAGTTTTGAAACCCCCCAGTGTAGATTTCCCCTCCCTCCCTCCAAGAAACACCGCTCTTGTTTTCCAGAAGGGCCACATTCCCGAAGAGCCCAGCGATAACGCCACCCCCCCAACTCGGCTGACTCCCCAACTGCAGATGAAGCCCATGTCCAACAGGGAAAGGTGAGGAGAAGGGAAGGGAAGGGCTGCTGGTTCTCAGCCTGGGCTCTTGCCAGTCTCAACACAAGGGTGGAGCTATCCTTCCTCGGGGCTGGGTCGCCACTTAGTTGGTGGGTCTTGCAACCGCTGTACGGGTTAAGGAGCTAAATAGGCCCAGCATGGCGCTTCGGAATGGAGAACCCTTGGTTTGCCACAGCTTGGCTAGCCAGGAGTGGGAAACACGGTTGGTTGATGGGTAGTTGATTAGTGGTTGGATGGTGATTGGGAGGTGATTTGTGGGTTGATGATGAGCTGGTTGGTGGTTGGTGGTTGCTGCTTGCTTGCTTGCTTAGTTGATGGTTGGTTGGTTGATGGATGGATGGTTGTTGCTTAGTTGGTTAGTTGTTGGTTGGTTGGTTGGTTGGCTGATGGATGGTTGTTGCTTGGTTGGTTGGTTGATGGTTGGTTGATGGTTTTTGGTTGGTTGGTTGATGGTTGGTTGGTTGATGGTTGGTTGGTTGGTTGATGGTTGGTTGATGGTTGGCTTATGGATGGTTGTTGCTTGGTTGGTTGGTTGATGGTTGGTTGTTGGTTGATGGTTGGTTGATAGTTGGTTGATGGTTTTTGCTTGGTTGGTTGATGGTTGGTTGGTTGGTTGGTTGATGGTTGGTTGGTTGGTTGATGGTTGGTTGGTTGGTTGGTTGGTTGATGGTTGGTTGGTTGGTTGGTTGATGGTTGTTGGTTGGTTGATGGTTGGTTGGTTGGTTGATGGTTGGTTGGTTGGTTGGTTGGTTGATGGTTGGTTGGTTGGTTGGTTGATGGTTGGTTGGTTGATGGTTGATGGTTGATGATGGGTTGGTTGGATGGTGATTGGTTAACAGCAGGTTGCTTGGTTGGTCACTGGTTGATTGACTCCACCCTCATTTTCCTCCCTGTCCACTCACCCACCAACCCTTTAAACCAGCCACCTCTTCCTACCATCGCCTGCAGCGGTGGCTAAGGTTTCCCCCACTCTCCCTCCTCCCCCAAAAATCCTTCTTCCCACAATCTTCACATTTTTTCACCCCCTTCTAGGAATTTCGTGCTGAAACACCACGTTTTCCTGGTACGCAACTGGGACAAGATCCGTCAGAAGCAGGAGGAGGTCAAACACGACAGCGACAGCCTCCACTCACCCTCGTTGTACACCCGCTGGAATGGGATGTGCCGCGACGATGGCAACATCAAATCCGGTGAGGGTTCGGACCCCTGAACCCCTCCACTTCTCCGAGCGCCTCATAGTTGCGGCCAGAAAGGGGCTTCTCGTAACTAAACCACAACCTTCTTTCCATCACTGCCCGTTTGCTAAATCCAGCTGCTTGTAGTAACAGAATAACAGAGTCGGAAGGGACCTTGGAGGTCTTCTAGTCCAACCCCCTGCTCAAGCAGGAGGCCCTATACTGGTACACACAAATGGTTATCCAGTCTCTTCTTGAAAACCCCCAGAGGGAGGGAGGGAAGGAGGGAAGGAAGGAAGGAAGGAAGGAAGGAAGGAAGGAAGGAAGGAAGGAAGGAAGGAAGGAAGGAAGGAAGGAAGGAAACCACCATAACGCTGTCAGGAACCTGGCAAGCCTCCCTCCTTCATCGCCCTCCCCTTCTTTTTCAGATGTCTTCATGACCCAGTTCTCCGCCCTGCAGACTGCCCGCTCGGTGAGGACGCGACGGTTGGCGGCCGCCGAAGAAAACCTGGAAGTGGCCCGAGCAGCGCGCCTCGCACAGATCTTCAAGGAGATCTGCGACGGCATCATTGCCTACAAAGGTGAGGGCAAGCGAAGACCTGAAGCCGAACCCAAGCTTCGGGGAGAGTCCCCTTAAACCCAGGACAGGGTTCAAGGAGGCTTAAAACATAAAAGTTACAGCTGGGGTGTGTAAAATCCCCATTCCCTCCCCCCTCCAGGGGAAGGTTACTGCAAAATCCCCATTTCCTCCTGATCAGTTGGGACTCGGGAGGCAGAGAATATAGATAGGGGCGGGGCCAGTCCGAATTTTTATTACCGGTTCTCCGAACTACTCAAAATTTCCGCTACCGGTTCTCCAGAACTGGTCAGAGCCTGCTGAAACCCACCTCTGCCATGGGGACTCCTTGGAGGGGCGAGGGGTGGGTGGGGCCAGCCAGGAGTGGGATTTGGGGGTTCTCCAAACTGCACAGAATCTTAGCTAGAGGTTCTCCCGAACCCTTGCGAACCCCCAGCAGCCCCACTCCTTCTTCGGGACATCTCCGTGGTCCTCACGGCCTTCCTCTCCTTTTGACTTCCAGATTCCTCCAGGCAAGTCCTGGCCACCCCTTTGCTGGTTGTCCCTCCGAAAAAAAAGTAAGTCCTTTTGCCAAAGTGGGGGGGGGAGCACCTTGGGGTGTGTGGATGGACTCCTCTCCCCCCCCCCTCCAGCCATCTGAGCGTCCAAGCTGGACCCCTGGTCATTCACTTTCCGTACTTCCAACCTCTCCCCGGACCAGGAACGCCGATTACTACGAGAAGATCTCGGACCCCCTCGATCTCACCACCATCGAGAAGCAGATCCTGACGGGCTACTACAAAACGGTGGAGGCTTTCGACGGGGATATGCTGAAGGTTTTCCGCAACGCCGAGGTGAGCGGGTAGCTGGCAGACAGTTGTCTGAAACCAAAGACAATTCCCACCCCCCTCTCCAAAAACCTTCCCAAAGATTCCCGGCCCTGTTTGATTTCGCTTCGGCGCTGGGAATAACGTTGCACCCAGGATGGGTGTTTCCCGACCTCAGCAACTTTTAAGATAGGGGGGACATCAGCTCCCAGAATTCTCCAGCCAGGCTGGGAGTTGAAGTCCACCTGTCTTAAAGCATGCTGATTTGGGAATTCTGGGAGTTCAAGTCTACTCTTAAAACGTGCTGGCTGAGGAATTCTGGGAGTCGAAGTCCATCTTAAAGCAGGCTGGCTGGGGAATTCTGGGAACTGAAGCCCACCCCTTTTAAATCATGCTGGCTGGGGAATTCTGGGAGTGGAAGTCCACCCCTCTTAAAGCAGGCTGGCTAGGGAATTCTGGGAGTTGAAGTCCATTCGTCTTAAAGCATGCTGGCTGGGGAATTCTGGGAATCAAAGTCTACCTGTCTTAATGCACACTGGCTTGGGAATTCTGGGAGCTGACATCCACCCATCTTAAAGCAGGCTGATTTGGGAATTCTGGGAGTTGAAGTCCAGCCATCTTGAAGCATGCTGTCTGGGGAATTCTGGGAGTTGAAGTTCACTTTACAGCAGGCTGGCTGGGGAATTCTGGGAGTTAATATCCACCCTTCTTCACCTGCCTGAAATACTTAACAAGGATCAACCCTAGAATTTCACGGCCCTTTAAATCCAAGAATCTGGGAGTTCCGACACGAGGAGATGACCGCTGTTTTGTTGTTTTTTTTCCCTTCCCCCTGCAGAAATACTACGGCCGCAAATCTCCGATCGGGCGGGACGTCTGCCGGCTGCGGAAAGCCTATTACAACGCCCGTCACGAAGCGGCGGCTCAGATCGACGAGATCGTGGGTGAGACGGCCAGCGAGGCGGACAGCAGCGAGACCTCCCTGTGCGAGAAGGAGAGCGGGCACGAGAAGGACGAAGACGTCATCCGTTGCATCTGCGGCTTGTACAAAGACGAAGGGCTGATGATCCAGTGCGAAAAGTGCATGGTGAGTGAGGGGGGGGCACCAAAGGACCCCCTGCCCTGCCCGGACTCTCGGGAGAGGGGCAGGTTTCCCGCTCCAAAAATAGAGGAACCCCCCCCCCCCCCCATGGTTTTGTTCTAAAACAGGATTTCCCCAACCTTGGCTGCTTTAAGATGCCTGGACTTCAACTCCCAGAATCCTGGGGAATTCTGGGAGTTGAAGTCCAGGCATCTTAAAAGTGGCCACGTTTGGGGGACACCCTGATCTTAAAAGCAACAGGATCCCCTGTTTCAATGGTGAGATTTAGCTGGTTCGGGTGAATTGGTAGTTCAATTGCTGCTTGCCCCCTCCCCCTCCCCGTCCCTTCCAGGAGTCCCAATGCACCCCGTTTTTGTTCCCAGGTAAGTGCAGGGAAGCCTACTAGGCCCAAAACGGGGCAAGGGGGGGTGCAACACAGCCCCCTTGCTGCCCATTTTCGCTCTCAGGAAGCTGCAGGAGGCAGAGTGCTGCCTGTCACACATCCCTGGCCACGCCCACTATGGCCACGCCCACCCAGCCGGTCATTAAGGCAGTTTACCTGTTGTCAAATTATTTGAATCCCACCACTGCCCTGTTTGGATATACGAAGTTTGTAAGAACTTGGATTCTTTCCTGTTGCAAGAATCTTTTTTTCAGGTTTATTTGGGTTTGGGATTTTTTTTTTTTTTTTGCAAAATGCAATACCCTTCTATTGCTATTTCGTTGCTCTGCTTTGCTCAGCATGGCTAACTTCAGCTGATATTAGCCAGGGATATTCCAAGCTTCTCAGCAGGCAGATTATACTCTTTTTTTTTTTCCCCTATAATACATACATACATACATACATACATACATACATACATACATACATACATACATATATATTTCGCCTATACCAAGCCAAAGTTTCTTTCTCGGCGTTTCCTGAATCCTTCCTTTCTCTCGCAGGTTTGGCAGCACTGTGACTGCATGGGTGTGAACTCGGACGTTGAACACTACCTGTGTGAACAGTGCGAGCTGCGCACAGTGGATCGGGTAAGTGTCTATAAGTACGTAAGTAGATAGAAGCACAGACAGGCAGACAAATAACTCCTCGCTGTGAACACACACAATATTTCCTCATCCTATTTTCCCCACAGTAACAACCAAGATGGTTTGGGCTGAGAGGGAGGGACTGGCCCAAAGTCACCCAGCTGGATTTCATTCCTAAGGCAGGACTAGAATTTACCGCCTCCTGGTGATTGGCCCAAAGTCACTCAGCCAGCTTTCGTGCCTAAGGTGGGACTAGAACTCCCAGCCTCCTGATGATTGGCCCAAAGTCAACCAGCCAGCTTTCATGCCTAAAATGGGACTAGAACTCACTGTCTCCTGGTGATTGGCCCAAAGTCACCCAGCTGGATTTCATTCCTAAGGCAGGACTAGAATTTACTGCCTCCTAGTGATTGGCCCAAAGTCGCCCAGCCAGCTTTCGTTCCTAAGGTGGGACTAGAACTCCCAGCCTCCTGGTGATTGGCCCAAAGTCAGCCAGCCGGCTTTCGTGCCTAAAACGGGACTAGAACTCCCCATTTCTATCCTGCTGCTTTAACCACTAGACCAAACTGGCTCTTTTCCTGTTGCTTTGAACCACCCTGGAAACCTTTGAAACAATCCCTAAGGGTAAGAAAGCTGAGCTTTCTCTCTTGTTTTGTTTTTTTCCCCCCCCACGGGCCCTTCCTCCTATTTCTCTCGTCTTCCCTTAGGAGGTACCGATGATTCCCCGGCCTCATTACACCCAACCCGGCTGCGTTTACTTCATCTGTCTGTTACGGGACGATCTCTTGCTCCGCCAAGGTGGGTGTCTGCCCCCGGGGGGGGGAGTGAGAGGCAGCCAGGAGGGGCTGTGGGATAACTCTTCCCTTCCCTACAGGGTCTCCGGGTTCTGTTCTCGCTCACTAGTGAGGGGTATCCAAGCACAGGGAATAAATAGGAAAAGGGAGTGGCTGTCGTAGGAGACAACCGTTCGTATTTCTGGAAAGTTTGCTCCTTGTGTGTTTCGTGCGACATTGCCAGAACTGAGGTCTGTCTATTGCTCTGTTTGAACTGACTTAATTGGCAGCCTCCCAGGCTGGGAGCTCACGGCCTTGCATTTATCCTAAGGAGCTGATAAGGACTCTTGTTTTAGTTAACCTGGACTCTCTTGCCTGGACTTTCTGTCGGTGAAGGCAGTTAATTCCCAAAGTGTAAATAAAGTGGATTTTTTTTTTCTTTATGGGGAGTCTGTTTCTTGCAGCATGGGGAAGGCAGTCACCTTCTGAAACAGCTGTTGGGATATTCAAATTCCATTGGGGTTTTTTCTCGTTCTTTTCCTGTTTTGTTTTGCTTTTTTCCCTTACGCCCCTGCCGATGTATTTGAGGCTCTTCTCTGCTTCCCGCCCGCAGGAGACTGCGTGTACCTGATGCGAGATAGCCGAAGAACCCCCGACGGCCACCCGGTCCGGCAGTCGTACCGCCTGCTGTCCCACATCAACCGCGAAAGGCTGGATATCTTCCGGATCGAGAAGCTGTGGAAAAATGAGAAGTGAGTTTTTCACGTCTTCCTCCACGGGGGGAAAAAAAGTTATTTTTGCCTTTCAGCCATGCTGGAAATGGTTGCGGTGGACGCCGTGAATTCACGGCAAACATGGCAGGAGTTTTTCACTGGTTCTTTTGGCCGGCAGTTCACAAGTTTTTGAAGATATAAAACCTTCCCCCACATAGGTAGATGGGAAGGATAAGAGCAATACAGCCCCTACTACGTGGTGTAAATACCTTTAGGCCTAAGACAGGGCTGTGGGAAATAGATGTTCAGCAGAAAAAAAAATATATCTTTGTGTTCAGTTGTTTCGCTTCTCATCCAAAAAGCTTCCTTAGAGCACTCACATTTGAAAGTTTGAAGTGGTGTGGACTTCAAGTCCCAGAATTCCTCAGCCAGCATGGCATTCCAAGACTTGAAGTCCACACCACTTTAAACTATTATATCTGGGAATTCTGGGAGCTGAAATCCAGCCCTGTTAAAGCATTCTGGTTGGGGAATTCTGGGAGTCAAAGTCCACTCCTCTTAAAGCATTCTGGTTGGGGAATTCTGGGAGCTGATGTCCATCCCTCTTAAAGCACGCTGGCTGGGGGATTCTGGGAATTGAAGTCCTCTTAAAGTTTCTAAAACTGAAGAAATCCTACCTTAAAGCAACGATCAGCAACAGGCTGTGAGTTCAAATTCAAAAAAACCCCCCACAAACCCTCCAAGTCACTGTTGGTTGCCCAGAGGAGCCTCCTCTTTTGAGCACAGCGGCTTTAGGTGGGGGGACTCCCTCTGCTTCTCGCCTTCCTGCAGGGGGGAACGTTTCGCCTTCGGCCACCACTACTTCCGCCCGCACGAAACCCACCACTCGCCCTCCCGCAAGTTCTACCACAACGAGCTCTTCCGGGTGCCACTGTACGAGATCATCCCTCTGGAGGCGGTGGTGGGGACCTGCTGCGTGCTGGATCTCTACACCTACTGCAAAGGCAAGTCGGCCAGATCCCAGAAGCGGCTTTCCTCCCGCCTGCCTCAGACAAATGGTTGCCCCCTCCCCGCCCCCCTCAATCGAAGGAAGGGCTGGTGGTCTTTGGGGCGGAGAATGACCTTGAGAACTTCTTCCCCCCCTTCCCTCCCCCACTTTCAGGAAGACCCAAAGGGGCGAAGGAGCCAGACGTTTACATCTGCGATTATCGGCTGGACAAGTCGGCCCATCTCTTCTACAAAATCCATCGTAACCGCTATCCGGTCTGCACCAAATCCTACGCCTTCGACCACTTCCCGAAACGGCTGGCGCCGAAAAGAGACTTCTCGGTAAGCAACTTCAACCCTCCTCGGCAAAGAAGCCTCCGGTAGCCCCCCGCGACCGCCTCCCTTAAAATTCAGGTTGCCCCTCCGCTCCACGACCACGGCGGGGCCCCCAAATTTAGTCACCGAGGGAGACGGCGAAGTGAGTTCGCGCCCCCCACCACCACACCGTTTTTACGACTTTCCTTGCCACATTCGTTAAGCGAATCGACTGCCGTTGTTAAATTAGCCACCAGGCCGGGAAGCGAATCTGGCATTCCCCCCCTTGTTGGAAGGTTGCAACAGGGTATCACGTGACATGCATACGCACACACGGACGCTGCGACTGTCATAAATCTGAATCAGTTGCCAAGCAACTGAATGTAAATCACACGACCACAGGGAGGCAAGTGTGAGAAACGGGCATGAGTCACTTTTTTTTCAATACTGTCGCAACTTCGAACGGTCGCTAATTGTAAGTCAAGGACTATCTGTACTCTTATCAATTTCTTCCCCTTTTAATCGGGAACTTTCAACATTTGGATACGCTGTGGTTGGTGGTTAACGCTTCACAGTCTGCAACCAGATTTTTGTCTGGCCCTGCCTCAGTTTCTCAAACCTCTCCCTCCCTGGGATGACCTCTCTTTGATGGATGGACCTCAAGATACCCTGGAGATTGAATCTGATGGGCTTTTTTTCTTTTCTTTTCTTCCATTTCAGCCTCATTACGTACCTGACAACTACAAGAGGAACGGAGGCAGGTGAGTCCCCTTGATGGTTGTGTGAAAACACCTTCACCACAGCCCTTTGAGGTACCGTATTTTTTGGACTATAAGGTACACCTGACTATAAGACACACTTAAATTTAGAAGAGGAAAATAACAACAACAAAAAGTTTTGGGCCTAACCCTTTTCCAGCCTTTTTTCTGTCCGTTTTCAAGGCTTTTTTTTTTGGCCTGTTTTTGAGGCTTTTTTCTGCCCGTTTTCGAGGCTTTTTTCTGCCCATTTTGAAGGCTTTTTTTTAACCCGTTTTTGAGACTTTTTCAGCCTGCTTTTGAGGCTTTTTTTGGCCCTTTTCAAGGCTTTTTTTGACCCATTTTTGAGACTTTTTCAGCCTGTTTTTGAGGCTTTTTTCTGTCCGTTTTCAAGGCTTTTTTCGGCCCGTTTTCAAGGCTTTTTTCAGCCCGTTTCCGAGGCTTTTTTTGACCCGTTTTTGAGACTTTTTCAGCCTGCTTTTGAGGCTTTTTTTGGGCCCGTTTTCGAGGCTTTTATTGGCCCATTTTCAAGGCTTTTTTCAGCCCGTTTTTTCCGAAAACAGGCTGAAAAAAGCCCTGAAAACAGGCCAAAAAAAGCCCTGAAAAAGGCCTATGCGGAGACCAAAAAACGACCAACGGGTGGGCAAGGCTTCAGCAATATTCGGTCTATAAGACACACAGACATTTTCACCCCCTTTTGGGAGACAAAAAAGTGCCTCTTACAGTCCATCTTACAATTCAAATCTGTAGTGATCGTGGAGACTTCTTGGGGTGAGGGGCAAGCACCCCTTCCTGCCAAACAGCCCCCTCCCCATCTTTCAGGCTCTCTGGAACGACTTCCCTCCAGAAGTTGTGGGTGCCCCATGAGATTGGACAACCATTTGTCTGCAAAGTTATAGGGCCTCCTGCTTGGGCATGGGGTTGGACTAGAAGACCTCTGAGGCCCCTTCCAGCTCTGTTATTCCATCACTCCTCCCTTTTTCTCCCTTCCCAGGTCATCTTGGAAGTCCGACCGCTCCAAGTCCCAAAATAAAGACCTGCCTCAGGAGGAGGAGCCTCTCCCCCTTCCGGAAGAGGGGATCGCCAATCCCGAGCCCCCTCCTGGAGAGCCGCCAGCCCACCCCGAGGAGCCCGAGAAAGAGGCCCCTTCCCTGGAAAACGTCGAGCTGGATAAAAAGGCAGAGGAGGGCAGCCCCGAGCCCAGGGAGCCTTGCAGCCCGGAAGAACGCCGGCACCTGCAGCGGGAGCGGCTGAACCAAATACTCCTCACCCTCTTAGAGAGAATCCCAGGAAAAAACGGTGAGTTTCCCTGGAACCCTCCCTCCCTTCCTTCCTTCCTCCCTCCCTCCCTCTCTCCTTCCTTCCTTCTTTTCTTCCTTCCTTCATTCGTTTCTCCTTCCTTCCTCTCTCTTCCCTCCCTTCCTTCCTCTCTCCTTCCTTCCTTCCTTCCTCTCTCTCTCCTTCCTTCCTTCCTTCCTCCTTCCTTCATTCCTCTCTCCTTCCTTCCTTCCTTCCTTCCTCTCTCCTTCCTTCCTTCCTCCCTCTCTCCTTCCTTTCTTCATTCATTCGTTCCTCCTTCCTTCCTCTCTCCTTCCTTTCTTCCTTCCTTCCTCCTTCCTTCCTCCCTCCCTTCCTTTCTCTCTCCTTCCTTCCTTCCTCTCTCCTTCATTCCTTCGTTCTTCCTTCCTTCCTTCCTTCCTTCCTTCCTTCCTTCCTTCCTTCCTTCACTCATTCATTCATTCATTCCTCTCTCCTTCCTTCCTCCCTTCCTCTGTATCTGTATATTCCTTCATTTCTTCCATCTCCATCTGTTTTCAAGAAGATACTGGATAACCCTTTGTCTGGACTGGTCTCGGGTCTCTTGCTTGAGCAGGGGGTTGGACTAGAAGACCTCCAAGCTCCCTTCAACTTTCTCTCTCTCTTCCCTCCCTCCCTCCCTCTCTCCCTTCCTTCCCCCCATCACGGATTTTTAAAGAAACACTGTGATAGCCATTTGTCCAGAATGTTGTAGTATCTCCTGCTAAGGGGTTGGACTAGAAGACCTCTGAGGTCCCTCCTAACTCTGTTATCCTGTGTTCTGGAAGAGTCCCTGCTCTGAAAACGGTCTGGTAAATGCCCGCTGGACACTCCATCTCTTCCCCCCCCCCGTTCCTCCCCAAAGCAGCCCTTTGTGTATTTCCACCCGCAAAACAAAACAAAAAACGACCGTCGTGCTGTTCATCCTATCATCTTTTAAACCTCTCCTTAACCTTTCTGCTCTGTCTCCGCTTCCCCCCCCCCCCACCTTCTCCGTGCAGCCATCGACGTCACCTACCTGTTGGAGGAAGGCTCCGGAAGGAAGCTGCGACGTCGCACCCTCCTCCTCCCCGAGAGCAGCTGCAGGAAGTGAACCCGCGTCCATGTGTTTTTCTCCCCTCCCGCACACCGCCCGCGCGCCCCTCCCCTTCCCCCCCTGCAGCAAGGGTGCGTCTTGCAATTCCTCCGGGCGTTAAGACTGACAGCCGGGCCGGGATTTTTGGACTTTCCGCCATCCTGCGTCTCTCAGCCCTCCTGGAAGAAGCAACCGGTGGCAAGAAGAGGCCGAAGCCCTCGCGGTCCGGCCGAGCAGAAGGAAACTGACGAAACGGTTCTGTAGCACTTAGTCCCTGCACTTGGGCAGGCAAGCCCCCTCCCACCCACTCACCCCCTCCCCACCCACATCCCCCAGGAGCCTTCAGCACTGTGGGGACGGAGGGGGGGGGAGCCAGCCCTGCCATCTCGTTCCTCTTAAGGTACTTAGGAAAAAAAAAAAACAGCCTCTCTCCTCGGGGGGACGGGACGGAGGGGGATGGGACGGTCACCGTTTTAATTTAATTTATTCTTTTTGATTCCCCTGCCCCATTTCACTCCGATGGTCCAGAGGGAGAAAAACAAGGCGTCGCCTAGAAAAGCGTGGGGGGCACCTGCCCTGCTGCCCCCCCCTCCCACGGGCACCTCGTCGGTCCTGCCCTTTCCAAAATCCGGGGAATTATCCGGGCACTGCGTGGCCCCCCCGAGGTCTAGCAAAATATAAATATATATATATCTCTATATATTAAAAAAAAATTAAAAACCTGTCTCTGACAGGCACCGGAACGAGACCGCGGGGAGGGAGGGAGAATTTCCTTACCGGACATTTTGCACACACAGGAAGCTTCGCGTTCCGTACGGATTGCCCCCCTCCCCCCAGGGAAACTACGGTTGGATTTTTCGGAAGCACTTGGGTTCCACGTCGTGCATCCCACGGGAGGACGGGACAAAGAGGATGCTGCGCTTAATTTTAATTTTAAATTCTTTTTTTTTTTTTTTTTTGCCTCCCCCTCCTGTTGCGGAGAATTTTTTTTTTTTTTTTTTTTTTTTAAAGCAGGTTCCGGGTTCAGAATAGCTCCCCCCTTCTTGCGGGCTTTTCCCGTCTTTTCGCTTTCGTTTTTTTCCTTTCCTCTTCTTTCTTCCCTTCTTCTTCTTCTTTTTTTTTTTATCACCTTTTCCCCCTCCTGCCCGCTTTCGTACTCAGCTGTCGTTCTCTCGTGAGTCCGGTGTATATCGTGGCAGGGGGCGGGAAATTCGAGAAGGAGGGAGGGTGGGAAAACCCAGAGAAAATCTCCCACGCCCCAATGATATGAGAAGGAGAAATATATATATATATATATTCCTTTTTCACTACACGAACCGTGGAAACAGTATTTCTGAGCGAGCGGACGAGCGAGCATCTTGTCGCGAAGCTGTCGAGACGACTGGACCCACCGATGACACTACTCTTTTTGCGGGCTTTTTTTTTCTCCCCCCTTTTTTTTAATTTTCCTTTTTGATTTTTTTTTTTAAACCCTCGTGTTTTTTGTTGTTCGTTTTTAAATTTCGAAAGACAAAAACTGTACAGCTCACCAAGCGGCTGCCTCTTAAAGAGGCAGTGTATTTCGCACTCCGCCTCTTCAGCCAGGAACAAAAAGTGTGGGGTGGGGGGAATAAAAAATCAAAATCGTCATGGAAGACAAAAACAAAATAAGGATTTTTTCAAAGGGGGGGGGCGGTTTGTTTGTTTTTCTTTTTCTTCTTCTTCTGTTCTCCCCCCTCTGGTTTGCTGCAAAAAAAAAAAAAAATATCCAGACTTTTCACGCGGGGAAAATCAAAAAAGGAGAGACTTTCTGCAAAGTTTTCCCCAGCAGCGAAAACCCCACACAAAAATCGGAGGTTTTTCTTTTTTTTTTCCTTTTTTTTTTTTTTTTACACTGGCTCTTTAACGTGGCTTCCCGCTCTTCGTCTTTTCGGCGTTCACATGCATATTCTTGGTCCTGTTTTTTGGTGTCCTTATAAACAAAAATCCTGTTTTTAAATGTGCCAAGTTGTATATATCTTAAACCTTTTCCTTTTTAATTTTTTTTTTTTCTCGTGTGATTGTAAAGCAATATGGTAACTTTCTCTCTCTCTCTTTCTCTCTCTCTCTTTCTTTCTCTCTTTCTCCATGTTCCTTCCGGACGGACCAATTTTTGTTGTCCAATCACTGTACATTTTTCTCGTTGACTATATTAATTCTTCTTTTGATCTTAGTTTTGAAACCACAACGGAGAAAAAAAAAAACACAATAACAACAGAAACCAAGGCGCCATTCCATTCATAAACCGGACGATTTCAATGGTTTTTAACAAAAAAAAAATATATAATAATAATAATGCGGGATTTTGACGGGAGGGAGGGGGGGAAACGGGGAAAGTGAAGAGGGGTTTTCTCGAGATCGGGGGGGAGAATAAAACCGAGAGGGACAAATAACGACGGCCCTTCGCGGTGCAAAAGAAAAATATTTTATTAAAAAAGAAAAACGACAACAAAAGACAAAAGGAGTTAAAAAAAAAAAAACCCACCGTTTGGAATATTTTCTTACTGTAGAGAAGCAATTGTATAGCAAGATTCCCCAAGAGTATGTGATACTCAAAATGTTTGTGTCGTGCGGGACTAAACCACAAAATCGCATGTTTTAAAAATAAGGGAGTTGCAAGTGGGGGTGGGGGAAAGAAACAATAATTTGTGTTTTTGTTTCTTTTTTAGTTGCGCCGAGTTCGAAAAACGGGAGCGGGCGGGAATACTTTATTTTTATTTTATTTTTTTTTTTGGTCTCGAAATGGTGTCAAACACTAAAAAAGAGAGAGAGAGAGGTTTAAAAACAAAAAAAAAAGTCCTTTTTAAAGAGAAAATAATAATAATGTTCGATGTCGCTGACAGTGGAGCAGAGAAGAAGAATAATAATGTTGATTTTTTTAAAAAAAAATAAAGAAAAAAATTCAAGCGTGCCCGGGGGAATGCGAGATGCGAGACACTAAAACTTTGCCGTTGTTTTTTTTATTATTATTATGATGATGATGATGATTTTTAAAAGAAAAGAAAGAAATCTTTCTTTTTTTTTTTTTTTTTTTTTTTTTGTCGGAAAGAGTAAATAAAGACGAAGCCGATGGTTTTTTAGACAATCAAATTCTAGAGAAGCACGAAGAATTTGTGTTGGCTTTTTTTTTTTTTTTCCCCCAAAAAAAATATTTTTATTTTTATTTTTTGGCTTTGTTTTCTTAAAACTCGGTTTGTAGAGAGAATCGCTGACTTTTTAGGAGGAGAAATAAAATCAAATAAATCGGGACAGCTTGGGAGGGAAAGGGAAGGTTATTTTGTATGAAAACTTTAAAAGGAGACCGAGACCCGTTGTTTTCAAACAAAAACACAACCCTGATAAAGAAAGAGGCCCAGGAAAATTTTAAAAAAAAAGAAAGAAAGAAAGAAAATAATGAAAGAAAGAAAGAAAAACAAAAAGCACTACATTTTGTGGCAAAGTGGAGATAACAAAACTCTTTTTAGCCTGCATGGGACAAAAGCCGTGTGGCGACTGAGAAGAATTGCTGCTAATATATTTCCTTTTTACAAAAGCATATCTAAATAGACAATTGTTTTGATGTTTAATCTTTGTAAATTATGTATTACCAATTTTAACATTGGATGTAATTGCATAAAAAAAAAAAAAAAAATAAGAGCCTGCATCTCAAATATTGAGAGATTCTAGTATTAAATGGAAAAAAAACCACATGTTTCTTATTTACGGTTTCAGGGTGTTTTCTGTTTTTGTTTTTTTTTTTTTCTCCCGCAGCGTTTGCTAAAAATTCTTTTTTTTTCCTCCTTTCCCTTTCAATTTTAGCTGCCCTTTGACCTCAGTTTGGGGAGGGGGGGGTCTTTCAACGCTACCGTTAACAGTCTTGTTACAGGCAGTCCTTGCCCTTACGACCGCAATTTCAAAACCCGGCGCTACCAGTTCGTTTGTGGGTGTGCACAGAAGCGTCTGGGCAGGTGGGCGGAGCCTCCCGCAGCCGCTACCATTTCGCCCGATCTGGGGCGAAACGGTAGCAACCCACCACTGAATTGAGCTCAACATTGACGTGGCTAAGCAAGAAACGTGTTAACTCTTGCCCCACGGTAGGAGTTCTTGCCCACCGTTGTTAAGTGAATCCCTGCTGTTAAGTGAGGGACGTGGTCGTTAAGCGAGTCTGGCTTCTCCATCATGAGGTTGTAAAAGGGGATCTCGGGACCCCGCAACTGTCGTAAAGACGAGACAGTTGCCAAACGTCTGAATTTTTGATTACATGGCCGGGGGGAATACTATAACGGTCGTAAGTGTGAAAAATCCCTTTTTTCAGCGCCGTTGTAACTTTGGTCGCTAAACGGAACCGTTGTAAATTGAGGGCTACCTGTAAATTGGAAATCAAAATTCCTCCCAGGGGCGGTTTTAAAAGCGGGGACTGAAGGTGACAAAATATTGGAGAAATTGGGACATTTCGGGGAAAAAACTTTTGAGATTGGTGGTTTGGGGAGAGAAATTGCAGATTGGCAGATTAGGTGGCCTTGACTAGTGGTTAGAGCTGCCAATCAAACTCTGTTCCTTTTACTGGATGAATTGCAGCCGAAATTCCTCCAGTTGTGACGGTTGCATCCTTTGCTATTTTGGCCCCAAAGGGATGCGTCTTGCAGATACGGCTAATTTTGGGATTTTGCGACTGCTTACCGACAATCCGTTGCACACCTTCCCCTCTGGTTCAGCCTCCAAGATGAAAGCTGTCATTTATTCAATTGAGTAATCCTAAATCTTAGGGGTGACAGCTGATTGAGCCTCGGATTTGGGGAAGGGCGGGCTGGAACTGGGCCGCTGGGGAATTCTGGGAGTTGAAGTCCACCCATCTTAACGGTTGCTAAAGTTGGGGGGGAAAAAAGACTGAATTTAAGCACAGGTAGTCTTTGACCTCCGACCTTAAGACCCCAATTTGGTCATAATTCAGGGCAGTTGTAAAGTATGCCAGCTGGGGAATTCTGGGAGTTGAGCCCCATCCATCTTAAAGCATGTTGGCTGGGGGATTCTGGGAATTGAAGTCCATCCATAATAAAGAATGGTGGCTGGGGGATTCTGGGATCTGAAGTCCACCCATATTAAAGCACATCAGCTGGAGGATTCTGGGAAATGAAGTCCACCCATATTAAAGCACATGGCTGGAGGATTCTGGGAAATGAAGTCCACCCATATTAAAGCACATCGGCTGGAGGATTCTGGGAAATGAAGTCCACCCATATTAAAGCACATCGGCTGGAGGATTCTGGGAGTTGAAGTCCACCATATTAAAGCACATTGGCTGGAGGATTCTGGGAGTTGAAGTCCACCCATCTTAAAACAAGCCAGCTGGAGGATTCTGGGAACTGAAGTCCACCCCTATTAAAGCATGGTGGCTGTGGGATTCTGGGAACTGAAGTCCACCCCTATTAAAGCAGGCTGGCTGGGGAATTCTGGGAGTCAAAAAAATCCTTCCCAAGTGACCAAAATTTGAGAGAGGAGCCTTTAAAAGCTTCTACATTATTATTATTTTTTAAGGTGTTATTTTCACTTTGCACCAGCAGAGGGAGCCGAAGATGCATCTCTTTGAGATCACAATCTGAATTTAAGATTCATTTCTCAAAAAATGTCCCAGAGGAGGAGAAAAAAAGGGCAAATTAATTCAAAATTCTCCCTGATTCCTAGCAACAGAGTGCGGCGCGTGCAAAACACGCTAACCTTGTTCCTCCCCAATCCGTCACCTTTAGGCAGGCCTTTGAACCAGCAAAGCAATCCAGATGCCCCGTTGCCACCAGGGTTAAATTGGTCTCACCAATTCGATTGTCTGAACAATATTTTTATTTCCTTCTCCAGTGTACAAGTGGCCTTCTAGAAAACAGAAGTGGGCTGATTCTAGAAGGAATGAATCGACAAAGAGCGCTTGGGAAGAGCGTGCAGTGGCAAAAAATAATAATAATTATTATTATTATTAAAAATTAAGCTCCTTAAGATATTTGTCTTCCGGTTAACCCTAGCAATATAGACAGCCCTCGACTTAATGACCGCAATCGAGCCCGGGAGTCTCCCGTTGCCGAGGGAGGACCTCCGTTCAGTGAGTTTTGCCCCGTTTTACGACCTTCCTTGCCAGCCGTGGCTTACGCGAATCCCGGTCGTTAAGCGAATCCGCCTTCCTCCCTCGACGTTGCTTTGTCGGAAGGTCGCAAAAGGGGAGTCCGGGACACTTGCAACCGTCATAAATGCGAGTCCGTTACCAAGCGTCCGAATTTCGACCGCGTGACCTTAGGGAGGTCGTACGGGTGAAAAAGGATCACCATAAATCGCCTTTTTTTTCCCAGCGCCGTTGTGACTTCCAACGGTCACTAAGTGAACCGTTATAAGTCGAGGACTACCTATAGTCTTTTGTGTTTGGTTATTTTAAGGTTGGCTGTGTGTATATATATATATATATCAATTTTTCTATATTTACACAGATATATGCAATATACACACGACGGGAAATGCTCTTTTTTGCACGGCGGCTGGACGGCAGACACGAGCGGCGGACAAATCAAAATCAGAAATCCCAGACGTCAAAAGAGAAGAAACCGATCCAGCTTCCCCCATACGCAACACTCGAGGTGTCCTGGGATACCCCCCCGCCCTCCATCATCCCCAGCCAGCTTCCGACGACGGGGAGGATGGACCAGTCCAAGATCCCCAGATCCGAGAAAGCACAGCTCAGCATTTCAGAGGGGGGGTGGTAAATTTGCACGTCGGCTTGAAACGATCCCTGGGTGGCTCCCTCCGTGATGCTTTAGTCATTTGGATGGTAACAGGGATCTTGGAGGTCATCTAGCTCAACCCCCTGCTCAGTCAGGAGACCTTTACGAGGGATTCGAACCGCCGAACTGCTAACCTTTCTGATCGACAAGCTCAGTGTCTTAGCCACTGAGCCACCTAGTCGGTGCTTTTAGGGGTGGGTTTATTTTTTTTTTAAAACAGTTTTTTTTCGGGGGGGGTCAGTTCGATCCTCCATCCTTGGGGGGTCTCCCTTCTTCCTTCCACCTGGCCTGGACCGCCATTCACATGACGAGGGAAGTGTAACCCACGGGGACGAGGCCTTGCCGGTCTCCGGAGAGGCATTTGAGCCAATCTTCGTCCACCGTCTCCATCACTTGCAGGATGTCCCCTTTGCAGAAGGCCAGGTGTCCGCCTGCGGCGTCGCCTGCGTGGTCGCAGAGAGCCCGCACAGCTCTGGAGAAACAGAAGAAATAGAATAGAATAAACAAGAGTCGGAAGGGAGGGACCTGGGAGGTCATCTAGTCCAACCCCCTGCTCAGGCAGGCAACCCTACGCCCACTTCAGACAAATGGTTATCCAAGCTCTTCTTAAAAACTTCCAGTGTTGGAGCATCCGCAACTTCTGGTGGCAAGTTGTTCCACTGGTTAATTGTTCTAATAATCGTTCTAGAGGGAGGGAGGGAGGGAAGCGGAGCCAAATGTTGGTTTGTTGTCAACCTGCCTTTATTGTTTTTAAAACTAACTCGGGGCAGTGAACGTACTTAAAAGTTCCTTCCTTCCTCCTATTTTCCCCACAATGACAACTCCGTGAGCTGGATTGGGAGGGAGGGAGGGAGGGACCAAAGTCACCCAGCAGCTTTTGTGACTAAAGAGGAACTAGAATTCACCGTCTCCTGGTGATTGGACCCAAATCAGCCAGCTGGCTTTCGTGCCTAACGGAGAATTAGAACTCACTGTCTCCTGGTGATTGATCCAGTCACCCAGCTGGCCTTCATGACTAAAGCAGAACTAGAACTCTCCGTCTCCTAGTGATTGATCCAGACACCTAGGTGGCTTTCATAACTAAAGTGAAACTAGAAATCACAGTCTCCTGGTGATTGGACCCAAATCAGACAGCTGACTTTCATGCCTAAGGAGAACTAGAACTCACGGTCTCCTGGTGATGGATCCAGTCACCCAGCTGGCCTTCATGACTAAAGCAGAACTAGAACTCTCCGTCTCCTAGTGATTGATCCAGACACCTAGCTGGCTTTCATAACTAAAGTGAAACTAGAAATCACAGTCTCCTGGTGATTGGACCCAAATCAGACAGCTGACTTTCATGCCTAAGGCAGAACTAGAACTCACGGTCTCCTAGGGATTGATCCAGTCACCCAGCTGGCCTTCATGACTAAAGTGAAACTAGAACTCACCGTCTCCTGGTGATTGATCCAGTCACCCAGCTGGCCTTCATGACTAAAGCAGAACTAGAACTCTCCGTCTCCTAGTGATTGATCCAGATACCTAGCTGGCTTTCATAACTAAAGTGAAACTAGAAATCACCATCTCCTGGTGATTGGACCCAAATCAGACAGCTGACTTTCATGCCTAAGGCAGAACTAGAACTCACCATCTCCTAGGGATTGATCCAGTCACCCAACTGGCCTTCATGACTAAAGCGGAACTAGAACTCCCCGTTTCCTGGTGATTGGCCCAAAAATCACCCGGCCATCTTTCATGCCTAAAGCAGGACTAGAACTCATCATCTCCTGGTGATTGATCCAGTCACCCAGCTCGCTTTCATGACTAAAGCGGAACTAGAACTCCCCGTCTCCTGATGATTGGCCCCAAAATCACCCGGCCATCTTTCATGCCTAAGGCAGGACTAGAATTCAGAATGAATTCTCAGGTTTGGTGGAAATAACGGTAACGGTGTGCTTTGAAAAAGGGCCTGCTGGACTGGCTGGCACGCCGGGCTCTGGAGCTTTTATTCCCAATCAGCTAAAGCCCTGCCCCACAGATGTGTCCCAACAAGGCAGCAACTTACTTGCAGGTCTGTAATGGGTCTGGGGGATTCTGGGTCCCGTCTGCCTCTTGCCAGGGCTTCTGGGTCGGTCCCCCCTTCTTCGCGAGGGCCAGCGCGTTAACGGTGGGGCAGAGCCATCTCGAGGGGCGCCTGCTGGAGACGAAGACATGGAAGGGATGGAGGTCGTTACGAATTGCTGATTCTTTCAGAAATCGCCCCACGGATCTAAATGTCCGATGTGGGGGGGGATCGGAGCCTTAGGGATAGGGAGGGAAAAAATGGATATAATGCACTAACTAACCGATATATATTCCTTCGAATTTTAAATTTAAATTGAAGAATCGAATTTCAGAATTCTCCCATTTGGATAGCAAAGGCTTCTTCTGCTGGTTGCTGGGTGGGCGTGGGTGTGGTGGGCGTGGCCTAGTCGGCTTTCTGCACCACAGCGGGGGGCAGGGCATTTTTGCCCTCCCCGGGTTCCAGAGGCTTTCCCTGAGCCTCCGGGAAGGCAAAAACGGCCTCCCCAGGGTCCGGAGGCCCTCTAGAGGCCGGAAACAGGCCCGTTTCCAGCCTTCCTGAACTTTCTGGAAGCCTGTTTTTCAACCTCCCCGAGGCTCCGCACATGCCCTGCACTTACTTGCATCCAAAACGGTCCGCGTGGGGACTCCTCGGAGGAGCGGGGTGGGCGGAGCCAGCCAGGAGTGGGATTTGGGGGTTCTCCGAACTGCACAGAATCTGAGCTAGAGGTTCTCCTGAACCCCTGCGAACCCCCAGCAGCCTGCTCCTGCTTCTAGTCCTTAGTGAGGCCACATCCAGACAGGCAGCCATAACCCTTCCCATTTCACTTTTCAAAGCTAAACTCCTTTTCGGAAGCCCCCCCCTCCCCGCCCACGCCTAACACATTTCGTGGGTCATCGTCAGAGCTTATCCAGGTGTAAACACAGGGCCATCCCGCCACCTACCTACCTACCTAGCTCGGGGTAGACTCAAATCCATCTCGTTCAGCGTCCCGGGAAAATTGGCTCCAAACAGCCATCCCAGCCACCTTTCGTTCCCGTTTCCCGCCTCCGATTTCTCCTTGCCCGCTTGGGTTCCTTCCAGGTAGACTTCTCCTGCCTCAGGGGTATCCATTGCTGGCTTGAGATGGCTCCCTGACGATGAGCTTTCCTCCTTGCAAACCGATTCCTGTTTTTCTATCTCCTTTTTCGGACATTCCTCGGCGTTGGCACCGGTGTCTCCGGCTGCCGCCCGGCTTTCCCTGATGGCCACCCATAGCTTGGTCCATTGGGGCTTCCACTTGCTCGACGGCAGGTTTGGGGTCTCCTCCTTGGGCTCCGGTTGGGCCCAAGCCGGGTTCCCGTTCCCACGGAGGGTGCTGGCCAGCCGGTCTCTCCACCCCAGAAATCTCTGGGGCAGAAGCCATTCCTGAAAGGGGCTGGATGGAGCCAAGAACCCATCTTCCAAAGAAATCGGAGATTCGGATAAATCCACCGGTGTCAAACCGGGGCTTTCCCAATGACCGGCGCCGAGTTCGGGAGACGGGGTACTTCGCTGGGCCATCGGCCGGACACTGACGGGCAGGTGGCGGTGTTCGAAGAGCAAGTCCAGTTGGAAGGTGAGGACGGAAAGGGGTTGCAGGAGAAGAAGCAGCTCTTCGGCCCAACGGTGGCAGAACCGCTGACTCAGGAGGAGGAAAGCAGTGGGCAGGTAGAGCGAGGAGATCAGTTCTGGTTTTTTGGGGGGGTAAAAATGGCAAAAACAGGTCAGAAACACGAGCGGAGAAGAGCATCTTAAACGGGATAACGAGATGGTTCGGTGGAGGGAAGAACGAAAAGCAGAGAAAAGAGCAAACGGATGTTTGATTTGGAGTCAAGCTACTAGTCCACTGTGTCTCGACCTTGTCCGTTTGAAGCTGGGTGGGCTTCAGCTCCCAGAATCCCCCCAACCAACCTGTTTTAAGACAAGTAGGTTTTGACTCCCAGAATTCCCCAGCGAGCAAGGGTGGACTTCAACTCCCAGAATTCCCCCAGCCAAGTGTGGATGGACTTCAACTCCCAGAATTCCCCACTGGCTGCGGCATTCTGGGAGTTGAAATCCACTCCAATCTTTAAATTGCCACGGCCGAGAAGCATTTTCTTAGTGGTAATGGATGTTTTTCTTATTTTCCTCAGACCTCTGCAAAAAAAAAATCAAAATAATTCCCAGCCTACGTTGGAAACGACGTTTTGAGCCAGACTCAAAAGATTGTGAACTGACAATTCAGTTAAGCACCCCTTTTCTGGAAAAGACGCAACCCACCCACTCGAATCTGACCTACCTGAGTTTCTCTGCAGCTGCGCGAACCATTCCTCTACTTGCTTCAAACTGAGGAAGAAGAATAAGAGGGGAGCATTTAAGAAATGGGGTACCAGAGTCACCATCCCTAAATCAGTTGGTCGTTCGGTGAATCGCGCCTGATTTTTACAATTTTGTTAAGCGAAACCGGCTTCTCCCCTCGACTTCGCTTGTTCGGGATCCAGCTGGGAAGGTCACAAAAGGAGATCACGGGACGCTCCAACCGTCATAAAAAGGAACCAATAGCCAAGCATCCCAATTTAGATCCTGTCACTCTGGGGATACTGCCCCGGGTCTTCTTAAGTGTGAAAAGCAGTCCTAATTCACTTTTTTCAGTGCCGTCGTAACTTCAAAACACTGTAAGTCGAAGACCATCCGTCTCCCTTTTCATTTTCTATTTTTGTCCTTGTTGGTCTTTCCTTTTCATCTTTTTTCCATCCTTTCTTTTCCCAACCTCCCTTTTTTTTTTAAACGCGCGAGAGGGACGGGGCCACTCTTTATGCTTAAATCGGGAGCCGGTGACAGCTTCGGAAACGAAACTCTCTTATTTCTTTAAAAAAAAAAACTTTTAAATCATTTCCCTCAGTTCCATCCTCCCACCTTGCACCACCACCCCGACTCACTTCAGAAGGCCCAGGATAAAAGCATGGAAGCGTTGGTGGTTACTCCGGAGTGGGGCCAGACGTGACACACGCCAGTATAACGCGGTAAAGGATCTGGTGTGGGGACCTGGAGAGAAAAAACAGACCAAATCGCTTCGCAAGACTGTTGTGAGCATCGCGTACGTCTCAGCTGGAAAGATAGACTTAGGTGTGAACGAGTGCCTTGTGTCAACCCCAACAACTGTGTGTTGTGGCCCGCCAGCGGCCAGCAGAGCTGACAGCAGATTCAGACAGTGAGGTGGTTGGGGAGGAGTCAGTCCTGGAGTCAGGGGAAGGCTCTGATGAGGGCTCTGCGTCAGAGGCAGAGAGGGGGCCAGGGCCGTCTGATAGTTGTCAGCTGCCTTCGGAATCAGACATCAGTGAGGCAGAGGAACAGCTGGAGCCGGTTCCCAGAGTTGCCAGACGAAGGGAACGGCTAAAGAACAAGGGTCGACTCAGGAGTAAAGCCACAGGTGGATGGTGAATGGCCCCTCCCAGAGGGAATGAAAGAGGAGTGAAAGGGGAGTGGAGTTTGCAGGAGGCAATTAGTTCGCAAAACTGGCCACGTGGAGACTCCTGGGAGGGGAGGGATGGGCAAGACCAACCAGTCCTTGCAACTACCGGTTCGGCGAACCGGATGTAAAAATTAGCATCCGATTCACCCGAACCTGTCTGAACCGGCGGAATCCCATCCCTGCACACACATACACACAAACACAAATACAGGCCACAATCCACACGAAATGCTTCCTTCTCCTCCGGTTCCCCAATTCTCTTAACCTCCCCATCACTACCTACCTGGCCTGGCCGAAGCTTCAATGACGCTCCACGGAGAACTGGGCCGGTGTCCCGTGATGACGTCCTTCTGAAAAGGCTTCAGGCCGTCACCCACCAGGGCGTGCAAGGCAGGGCACAGCGTATTGAGGATCAAATACCCCACTTCGGGGGTGAGCTGACTATCACCCAGCTGAGCCTGCGCAGGAGAGAGGTGAAATCCAGCAGGTTCTGATAGGTTCTGGAGAACTGGTAGCGGAAATTTTGAGTAGTTTGGAGAACCGGCAAATACCACCTCTGGCTGGTCCCAGAATGGGGAAGGAATGGGAATTTTGCAATATCCTTCCCCCAGGAGTGGGGAGGGAATGGGGATTTTGCAGTATCCTTCCCCTCCCATGCCCACCAAGCCACACCCACCAAGCCACGCCCACAGAACCGGTAGTAAAAAAAATTTGGATTTCACCACTGGAAAGGACCGTGCCAGCGCTTGGCAGCAGGAGAAGAGCAAATAATTCAACCCTGCCTTTGCTAATTATCCCAATTAGCCTATCCTAATTAACATTCAACATCCTGCCCGCCCAACTTTTTAACCAAGGAGGAAAATCATCCTAACTTTGGCTTCCGGCCAAGCCACCGAACGAGACTAACCGAACTGCGGCATGGAAAAAGGGCCGTTTTTAAACACTTTAACAACCAGGGATGGGCTTTAAAAATTTTAGCAAGGGGTTCTCTGCCTGGTTGCTGGGTGGGCGTGGCCATGGTGGGCGTGGCCTACACGGCCAACTGCACCACGGTGTGGGGGGGGCGATTTTTTCATTTTCATTTCATTTCATTTTATTAAATTTGTATACCGCCCTATTCCCGAAGGACTCAGGGCGGTGAACAGCCATAAAATAAAATTTTGCCCTCCCCAGGCTCCGGAGGCTTTTCTCGAACCTCCGGGAGGGCAGAAACGACCTCCCCAGGCTCCAAAGGCCCTCTGGAGACCAGGCCCAAACTTCCGGGAGGCCTGTTTTTTGCCCTCCCCAGTCTCCGCGCGTGCCCTGCACTTACCTGCATCTAAAACGGGCCGCGTGGGGATTCCTGGGAGGGGCGGGGTGGGCGGGGCCTGCCAGGAGTGGGATTTGGGGGGTTCTCTGAACTGCACAGAATCTTAGCTAGAAGTTCTCTAGCTGCGAACCCCCAACAGCCCACGCCTGCTTACAACTATCGCAGCTTTGCAAGTGGCTCATTTTATGACGATCGCAGCGTCCCCGGAGGGGGCCACTCAACCCCCTTTTGAGACCTCCCGGCAAGCAAAAAAGTCAATGGGGAAGCCAGATTCACTTAACGACTGTGTTACTAACTTAACCACCCGCGGGGATCCACTTAACAACGGTCATAAAATAGGCCATAATAATAACAACAACAACAACTACTACTACTACTACTACTACTACTACTACTACTACTACTACTACTTAACAACGGTCTCACTTAGCAGCAGAAAATGTTGGGCTCCGTTGCAGTCGTAGGTGGAGGACCACCTGCAATTGTGCAGTTGAATTGCACCACCCCGAAGATGGCATTTTATTCGGCTTAGCCTACTTCGCAGGGTGGTTGTGCGGATAAACGGGGGCAGGGGGGGAGGGGCCGGCGCGCCGAACTGACCTTTTGAACGAGGTTCCTGGCGGTGCTGAAATGAGCCATGATTTTGTCCACGGAAGCACTGACGGCCACCAGCAGCGCTAGAAAGGAAGAGGGGGAGGGGGTAGAGGAAGGTATTGGGGTGTGGGAAGAGTCCCAATTCTGGGGGAGTCCTGGGCCCCAGATTATGGGTGCATTCTGTTAAGTGAACCCTTTTGAGGTATTCTGGTTCAAAAATTATTGCCCGCAGATGCACACTTTTGCCCATTTAAAGGTTACACGAACAAGACTTTTAATAACATCTACCTGTTATTATTCTTCTTTCTTTCTTTCTTTCTTTCTTTCTTTCTTTCTTTCTTTCTTTCTTTCTTTCTTTCTTTCTTTCTCTTTCTCTCCCTCTATCTACCCCTCTATCCATCTCTCTCTCCCTCTAGCTTTGTCTGTCTGCCCATCATATTTTCCTATCTTCCTTCCTTCCTTCCTTCCGTCCTTCCTCTATCATATCTATCTATCTATCTATCTATCTATCTATCTATCTATCTATCTATCTATCTATCCTTCTGTCCCTGTCCCTCTGTCCCTCTGTCCCTCCGTCTGTCTGTCTGTCTGTCTATCTATCTATCTATCTATCTATCTATCTATCTATCTATCTATCTATCTATTTCTTTGAGAGTTTAAGGTTGCAGACCCCTGATCTAATCTATCTGTATCATCTCCATATCTTCCTTCCTTCCTTTCTTCCTTCCTTCCTTCCTTCCTTATCTATCTATCTATCTATCTATCTATCTATCTATCATCTCCTTCCTTCCTTCCTTCCTTCCTTCCTTCCTTCCTTCCTTCCTTCCTTCCTTATCTATCTATCTATCTATCTATCTATCTATCTATCTATCTATCTATCTATCTATCTATCTATCATCTCCTTCCTTCCTTCCTTCCTTCCTTCCTTCCTTCCTTCCTTCCTTCCTTCCTTCCTTCCTTCCTATCGACCTACCAACCGACCTACAATCTTACCTTTTTTCTGTTGTCGAAGCTGTGTAGAAACCGCATCTCCTTTCCTCGCTGGGCATCCTTGGAGTGAGACCCCAGCAAAGGACTGAGAATGTCGAACTAGTAAAAAAAGAAAAAAAAAAGAAAGAAAAAAGAAAGAAAGAAAAAAAGTGGAGAACGTAAGAATCAACCTGCCTTTAATAGGTTGACTTGCTCCTCTGTGGGCAGGATTTATGAATTATTTAATTATTTAACCTTCTCCCCTTCCTCCCTCCCCCTTGTTTTTTTTTTCTTTCTTCATCCCATGGTGTGGTTTGTTTGTTTTTTTTCTTTCTCTTCCTGGTGTCTGTTTAAAACTTTGCCAGATCCATAGAAAAAGACTGTTATCAGGTTAGGTAGGTCTGAATTGGGTCTGCTTATCTGGGTTAATTCCAGGTGACTAGCCGAGTCCCAAAAATGTCCCTTTGCAATGCAAGGCCAGACTGATTTTTTTTTTTAAATAAAAGTTTTCCCAAGCTTGACAACTTAAAACGACGTGGACTTCATCTCCCAGTATTCTATGCTGGCTGGGGAATTCTGGGAGTTGAAGTCTACACATCTTCAAGTTTGCCAAGCTTGGGAAAACTCTGATTTAAATATTGCACTACGGGAAGAGATTCCAAAGTCCACCTCCCTCCTTTTTCCGTTAAGCTTCCTCTGTTTTTAGGGTCCTTTCCCCTCCCCCCTCAAAAAGACAGGGCAGATTGCAAAGCGCCATCGAGGAAGAGGGGGAGAGGCTTACGTTGGCGAGGGGCTCCCGACTCCTTGGCGCTCATAGCTTTCCCCCAGGGACCCTTTCCACCCTGCTTTCCCATGGGGTCTCGGGCTCCAAGTGACAGCTCGGGCACCTGGTGGGTGGGGAAAGCTAAGATGGGGAAGGATTTGCTGGAGGGGAAAAAGGGGGAGAACAGGACGGCCAGATCAGGGCTGCTGAGGAAGGGGAGCAGGCTTCGAGCTGGTGGGGAATACGCCCCGATGGGCGACAGACGGACGGGGAGGTCCGGAGACACCGCGTCAAAAAGCGGTCCCTGCCGGGTTGCCAATAAGCAAACGTCTTCGCAGGAGAGAGTCTTCAGCCTCGGACAAAAGGCCACGACTGATGGGTCAGGGGGCAGCTGAGCAGCATTCTCCAAGCTGGGAAGTTGGGGAAGGGGAGAAGAGGGTCCAGCAGCCTGCCCCTTTGCTGGGGGGAGACCCCGAGGCCGAGGGAAGAACTGGTGAGCTGCAGGCGGCGGGAACGAAGGACGAGAAACGCAGAAGACGTCGGGGTCAGAGTCGCGAAAAAATAGCAGCCGGGGGTTTTTTAGACAAGAACCAGACGGATGGAGGATTTTGGGGTGGGTGGCAGAAAGAAATATTGGGGAGCCAGTGGAGAACGTGAGGATGGCGCAGAAAGAAGTAACAGGGGGAGGGGGAACGGCAGCAGGAAAGGGGGTCCAAAAGCCGGGTGCAGGTTGCAGAGACAGGAGGGAGGGAAGGAAGAGAGAATATGAGAAGGAGAAAAAAAAACGTTAATTCTGGACACCACAATAAAACAGACATATCATTGGTTGGGGGGGGGAGGCCCAGCCCACCCGCCCACAAAGCCAATACCTCCACCCTCCCCTATTTGGAAGCCTGGAATTCGGACTACAATCCCCTTCATCCTCGGCTGGGTGACAGCTTCCTTATTACTCTCTGCAGCCCAGGGCCTACAAGGTGGAAATTGAGAAAGGGGGGGGGAAGGATTCCTACAGGAATATAGAGGTTAAAAACAGCCCCCTCCCATGCAAAAAACAGGGAGGGGGCTGGACTCTACAAGCCCCCCACCCCCCATGCACATCATCACACCACACTAGGGATTCCTGAAAGGACGAGAGCCAAGCCACAATTAAACCCCGATTGTAAGGTTCAGTTGCTTTCCTTCCTCCTGCTGGACGAACGAAGCTAAATTCGGATTACCTTTTTTTTGAGTGGAGGGTGGGGAAGGAAATTTTCTGAACAGGAAAAGGCAGTTAATTCGGATTCCTAAATTCGGGATCTCTCGTCCCTTCCGCCAAACCCCCCCCCCACCCCTCTCTGGCTCTTTAAATAAAGGCAGGAAGCTAGCTTACAAAACGTCCTGTTTGTTTGCCAGAAAGGTTGAAGGTGGAAGCCGCAGAACAAAGAAAGAGAAAGTGATTCCCGGGGAAAGCAATAAAAAGTTTAATCCGACTGGCAGGGAGGATGGGAGGAGCATTCAGGAAAGAAAAAAAAAAAAAGAAAGAAAAACCAAGGAAGCAAAAAAACAAAAAACAAAAAACACTCAGCCCAAAATCCCCAGCAAATGTCCTGCTTTTTTAAAAAATTATGATTATGAATTATTATTATTATTGTCTTACTATTATAATTGCAAAGTTGTTCACCAGTTGTTTGGACTGGATGGGGCATTTTTATCCCACCTATCTAAGCCTTCGTAAAAGTAAAGGTTCCCCTCGCACATACGTGCTAGTTGTTCCTGACTCTAGGGGGCGCTGCTCATCTCCGTTTCAAAGCCGAAGAGCCAGCGCTGTCTGAACACGTCTCCGTGGTCATGTGGCCGGCATGACTCAACGCCAAAGGCGCACGGAAAACGTTGTTCCCTTCCCACCAAAGGTGGTCCCTATTTTTCTACTTGCATTTTTTTTACGTGCTTTCGAACTGCTAGGTTGGCAGAAGCTGGGACAAGTCACGGGAGCTCACCCCGTTACGCAGCACTAGGGACTCGAACCGCTGAACTGCCGGCCTTTCGATTGACAAGTTCAATGTCTTAGCCACTGAGCCACCGCGTCCCTTTGTAGAAGTATAATTATTGCCTTATTATTGATTAGTGTAGATAAAATAAGAGTGAGATTAGATAGGATAAGTGCTTAGGGACTAGAAACCTTATTATTCTTATTGCAGAGGTTAAATCTGCGATATGTACAGATATGAGAAAGGAAAAATTTTGCTCCCCATTTTGTATCCTAAGCCTCCTTGCATGTGAGGATGTCTTCAGGGATGGGTGTTCAAATCTCCTTCCGTTTACAGCTAGTCCTCGACTTAGTGACCGAAGTTACAACGGCACTGAAAAAAAAAGCGGTTTATGACTATTTTTCACACTTACGACCGTTGCCGGTAAAGTCCATGGGGAAGCCAGATTCACTTAAGCGCCGTGTGACTGACTTAAGAGCTGCAGGGATGCCCTTTAACAACTGTGGCAAGGAAGGTCGTAAAACGGAGCCAAACTCTCTTCAGAACGGTCTCGCTTTGCAACGGAAAGTTTTGGCTCGATTGTGGTCGTAAGTCGAGGACTACCTGCATAGAGTTGGGTCTGTTGATATCAGAATCCTTGCTTATCATCGTCTCCGTTTAACGACCACATAATAATCCCTTGTGAGGTGGAGTCTGGGCAACTGAATGGAGCTAGTGAGTGTTTTCCTGGCCAGATGCCCTTCTTGTCACCGGTGCGGAGTTTTGTTCGGCAGATAATATTCTCAAGTGTGCCCAGAGAGAGAGAAATATCTGCCTCTACCTAGGATTGAACTCACAGCCTCCTGAATGTGAGGCGAGAGCTCCACCTCTAGGCCACCGCACCACTCCTGTCAGAATCCTTGCTTATATTCCTAATCATTCCAGTTTTCATCTAATGAGGCACGGCCCGTCAATCAAGAAAAGGGGGAGCATCTTACCCTTAGGGACCTTCCTGTCCCCCATCTCTGCCTTCCTGCAGACGTCAGGATCCCACCTCTCCTGGCGTTCAGTCTCCATGGGTCTCCCAAGCTGTTTCGGCTTGACTCCTACATCTTCTCCATCGTCAGAACCTCCTTCCACAATCGGCTGTAGACCCGGACGAGATCTCTTCATCCGGGCGGGATTTCCTTCGCGCCCCACAAATGTCCATTGGCCACGGGTTCCGAGTCGCTCATCTCTCGCCCCGTGTGACCGTCGGGGACCCCTTGAGCAGGATTCCCCCGGTGATGGCTTGGGTTGCCTGGCTTGGTGGCCAGTTGGTTGTTTTGCTTCCGATGACGGAGGTCTTTAAACGTGATGACCCCACGTTGGAGACCGAGGGTAGGAGGAGAAGGCTCCACCGGACAAGTGGATGGCTTGGTGGCCTCCTGTCCGGTTCCCCAGGTGAGTTCGTGAGACGGAGGCATCTCCGTGTCGGGAGAAAAGACAATCAACCAATCGCTTTGGTCCTTCTTGGATGTCATCTTCTTCCTCTTCTGAGCCAACTCATGGAAGGAGGTGATGATCTTCTTAGATGTTTCTCCTTGGGGTTCGCTGCGGTGGACTTGGTGCTCCACAGGTTCAGGAGGGACCGCCACCTCTGGAGCTGGCTTCCCCCCTTCACTTCTTCTCAACCCCTGAAGACCCCTTTTGGTCCGAGGGGGAATCGGAGGAGGCACGCCTCCAAAACGAGACCTCGCCGGCGTGGCTCGGTTGGAGTTGATGTCCACTTGGCCCAAGGAGACACTGTTGGGCTGCTTGACCTCGCGGGCTGGGAGTGCGTTACAGTTGGAATCTACTTCCAGCCCACGAGGGGGGACCACCGGCACTGCAGGAGGTGCCCTGCAGGGGCGGACAGGAGGTGGAACAAGAGGAGGAACTTTGATGGACTCAACCTGAGATGATCTTTCTTGGCTTTCCGGACAAGGAGGAGAGTTGTCAAATGGAGATTCTGGTGAGCTGCTGCTGTACAAACTGTCTGGACTATCCCAGATATGGGCCTCAGGATGCTCAACCATGGGGACATTAAGGTTTGGACCTCTCTCTTGGTGGTGGACCAGAACGTTCTGCGTGTCCTCCAAGGGCACAATATTCGGTTGGCTTTCTGGACTTCGGGCCTCTTCAGCAGGGAAGGGCTTGCAGTACACCGAGATGGGAGACTCATCCAAGCTGAGATCCGAGCAGCTGCTGATGGACGAAGAAGTTTGGTCTGACGCTTCCTCCTCCTCTTCTTCTTCTTCTTCCTCCACCTCTTCTTCTTCTTCTTCTTCATGGTTGACCGTTGGGCGGTTGGTCAAGGGAGATGGAGCCTGGAGGCCCTGCTTGACTTCAGACGATACCGGGTGAGCCTCACAACACCGGCAAGTCAACGATGGGTTGTTGGAGTTGGCGTCCACCAGGCTTGGGACCAGTTGACCTCCATGTTCCTCGCATTCGTGGCAACCCACTTGTTCCCTTGATGGCCCCAAGGTGTTGGCGTCCTCCTGAAGTTCTGGGTGCCTGGAGAGGTGGAGCCCCAAGGAGATGTGTTGCAAGTGGACGTGGTTTAAGTTGCAAATCAAGCTTTTTTTGGGAGACTGCATGGCTCCTGGGCACACGGAGAGAAATGGGGGGCTTGGAATGCAAGAGCCCGTTGGTAGATTCGGCTCTGTTTTCTCTGAAAAGGAAGATCAGAAAAGACAAAAGGTAGGAAAAACAGGTGGGGAGAATGGACATCACTGCTTGGTCTACTTTCCCTCTCGCCAACCAGTGTGTTTTTCAACCTCAACAACTTTAAAGTAGGTTGACTTCAAATCCTGAAATGTCCCAGCCAGCCAGCACTCCTTCTCCATCTGTTTATCTCTTCCTCCCTCCCTCCCTTCCTTCCTTCCTTCCTTCCTTTCTTTTTCATCTATTTATCTATTCCTTCCTTCTATCCTTCCTTCCATCCCCACATGCATGTATCTACCTTCCTGCTCTTCGTCTCCATCTGTATCTGTTCCTTCCTTCCAATTCATCTCCATCAGTATCTATTCCTTCCTTCGTTCCTTCTCAGTTCCTCTCCTTTTCTTTTCTCCCCTTCCTTCCCAATTCCCCTCTCCTTCCTTCCTTCTTTTTTTTCTTTCTTTCTTCTTCCTGCCTGCCTGTCTTCCTGCCTTCCTTTCTTTTTCTTTCTTTCTTTCTCCTTCCTTCCTTTCTTCTTCTTTCCTTCCTTCTTTTTTCTTTCTTTCTTTCTTTTTCTTCCTTTCTCCTTCCTTCCTTCCTTTTTCTTTCTTTCTTTCTTTCTTTTTCTTTCTTTCTTTCTTTCTCCTTCCTTCCTTCTTTCTTTCTCCTTCCTTCCTTCCTTTTCCTTCCTTTCTTTCTCCTTCCTTTCTTCTTCTTCCTTTCTTTCTCCTTCCTTCCTCTTTCTTTCTTTTTCTTTTTCTTTCTTTCTTTCTTTCCTTCTTTCCTTCTTTCTTTCTCCTTCCTTCCTTCCTTCTTCTTCCTTCCTTCCTTCCTTCCCTTCCATGAGCTCATTCCATTCGCAGATCCCCCCACCCTCCCACCCCTTCCCAAAACCCATTTGCAACTTAAATATCGGCAGATGTAATATGTGTGTTGGGCATAGCCAGCGCGCTAAGCTGTTCCTCTTCTATTATTCATCAGCCTGATTATATATATATATATATATATATATATATATATATATATCCAAGCTATTTCCACACTCGACTCGTTCACCGCTTCCTTTCCAAAGATCTTCCCCACCCCCAATGCATCACAAACATCAGAACAAAAATGCCTGCAGAAAGTGTGTCACCGAGTCCTTTCCGAAAAGCCTTCGGTGCCGATTCCCCCTTCCCCAGGTAGACTGCTCTTGGCTGGGGAGGCTCTGCTCCTCCCCGACCGTCTCTCCCCCCCCCAAAGCTAATGATCCAACGATAAAAGGCGATTGACAAGTAGGCTAAGACAAGAGCCTCGCTTTGTCTGTTTCGACTGCGCAGATGGGGGGGACAGGTGGCGACTGTTTTTCCGTGTCTTCTTGTTCAACCTTCACCAATTCAAGAAGAGAAATTGGGGTTCTCATGACAACAAGGATGTCGGGTGGAAGACCCCTCCCTCCTCGGCCCCCCCACTCCCTCCCTGTTTACAGATATCTGTCTGTCTGTCTACCTATCACTCCCCTTCCCTTCCCTCCCTAACTCTGTTTATCTATTTCTCTCTCTCTCTCTTTCTACATCTGTCTGTCTGTCTGTCTGTCTGTCTGTCTGCCTATCTATCTATCTATCTATCTATCTATCTATCTATCTATCTATATCTGTCTGTCTGTCTGTCTGTCTGTCTTTCTCTATTTCTATCAATCTATCCATCCGTCCGTCCATCCATTCATCCATCTCTCTCTCTCTCCATATCTATCTATCTATCTATCTATCTATCTATCTATCTATCTATCTATCTATCTATCTATCTATCTATCTATCTATCTATCTATCTATCTATCTATCATCTATCTATCTATGTCTATGTTTCTATCCATCCATCCATCCCTCTATCTATCTATTTATCTATCTATTTATCTATCTATCTATCTATCTATCTATCTATCTATCTATCTATCAGTCTGTTTCTATCCATCCATCCATCCATCTCTCCCTCTCTCTCCATATCTATCTATCTATCTATCTATCTATCTATCTATCTATCTATCTATCTATCTATCTATCTATCTATCATTTATCTATCTGTTTCTATCCATCCATTCATCCATCTATCCATTCATCTATCTATCATCTGTCTTTGTTTCTATCTATCCATCCATCCGTCCATCCCTCTCTCTCTCTCTATCTATCTATCTATCTATCTATCTATCTATCTATCTATCTATCTCTGTGTTTCTATCCATCCATCCATCCATCCATCCATCCATCCATCCATCGTCTGTCTCTTTTTCTATCTATCCATCCGTCCACCCATCTATCCATCCTTCCAGCTCTCTCTCTCTCTCCATATCTATCTATCTATCTATCTATCTATCTATCTATCTATCTATCTATCTATCTATCTATCTATGTCTATGTTTCTATCCATCCATCCATCCCTCTATCTATCTATTTATCTATCTATCTATCTATCTATCTATCTATCTATCTATCTATCAGTCTGTTTCTATCCATCCATCCATCCATCTCTCCCTCTCTCTCCCTATCTATCTATCTATCTATCTATCTATCTATCTATCTATCTATCTATCTATCATTTATCTATCTGTTTCTATCCATCCATTCATCCATCCATCCATTCACCCATCTACCTATCATCTGTCTTTGTTTCTATCTATCCATCCATCCGTCCATCCCTCTCTCTCTCTCTCTCTCTATCTATCTATCTATCTATCTATCTATCTATCTATCTATCTATCTATCTATCTATCTATCTCTGTGTTTCTATCCATCCATCCATCCATCCATCCATCCATCCATCGTCTGTCTCTTTTTCTATCTATCCATCGTCACCCATCTATCCATCCTTCCAGCTCTCTCTCTCTCTCCATATCTATCTATCTATCTATCTATCTATCTATCTATCTATCTATCTATCTATCTATCTATCTATCTATCTATCTAGTCTGTGTTTCTATCCATCCATCCCTCTCTCTCTCTCCCTCTCTCTCTCCATAACTCTCTATCTATCTATCATCTATCTATCTCAAAACCAAAAATCAAGAAAGGGAAAACATCTGCAATTATTCCCAAAACCCTTTGTACACTAAAATAATAATAATAAATATTATTATTATTATTATTATTATTATTATTATTATTATTATTATTATTATTATTATTATTATTTTGAGATCCATTCTCATTCTGGTCTGGCATCTGGCCCACATCTGATTGTAACTACTTTGCAAATCTGCTTCTTTTGCAAACTGAGAGGAAAAAAATCAACCCCCCCCAATGTTGTTTTCCTTCCATTTCAATATTTCTGCCATGTAGGTATTCCCCAGAGGTGTGAACTGAATTCCCTTTTCATCTGAGGGGTTTGGTTTTGCTAAACGCTGCTAAATGCTGTCCCAACGAAATCACCTTGTCTAGAAAAACAATATTTTAAGATCCTTTCAAGGTGTGTATATATATATATATATATATATATTTCCTATATTTACAAAATCCAGGTGTTGGACTACCTGCAATGGCTGGGAATTGGATTTTCTTCACAACCTTTGTGGTTGGTACAGCAGAGAAGGAGATAAAATAACATTTCAACCCTAAACAGACCCATAATATTACAATCCAGCCCGACTCGCTGACACGGTTCTCTGAATACGGCTTTGCTTGTATCCAGAATTATCAGCTCAGCAGATTGAATCCTGCTTCAGCCAACAATGTGATGCCCACACCAACTCTAGATCCCCCCCTATTTTTAATTTTAATTCCACCCCCTTCGAAAGGCCCTCTGCACGAGCGCAGAGGACTCTCGTTCGTCAGATTTGATGCTATCCGGTGCTAAAATACCTTCGACGGGTAGTTTCCCCCCCCCTCAAATCTCAGTTTGATATTGGGGTTCAGCTCTGCTTTTAGCCTGGGGAGGGGGCTGAGCCCATCGGGGAGGGGGGGAGAAGAAGGAAAACTAGCAGAGGGGGACATTGGAACCCAAATCTGGGCCTGAGACCACTAGGCTGCACAGCTCAAAGACTAAGAAACCCCCCCCACCACACCCAGGAAGGAAACAACAGACAGAAGTGACCAGCTCAAATAATTGTACCAGGTTTCCGGGGGTGGGGGGTGGGGGATGTTTCTGCAGGCAGTCACTGCAGAGAGATGACAGTGCAGGCAGCCTTCCACCCGGTAAAGGAGAAGGGTGACCCCTCCCTTCCCACTCTTACTCCTGCCCCCCCAAAATAAAACCGAGACACCCTGATTTCGAGGGATTGAAAGAAAGGGGAAGGGAGGCAAAAAGGATGGGGTGTGTGTGTGTGGGGGAGACCTGGGGAAAGGTCTTCGGGGTGTGTCCAGAGTTCGAATGGCGACAGCTTCGCCTCCTCAAACTCCCCCGCGTTTCCTCCTCCCTGGAAACAAAACAAGATTTGGATGGGAGAAGAGGGCATCATGGAAGGAAGCAATGCAGGGATGCACATTAAAAAAAAAGAAAGGAAGAAAAAAAAAGAATAAGGAAGGCAGGTGGGACATACCTGAAGGATGCTCAGATGGGGGGGGGCAGGGGTTTTGCCAGCCAGGAAGACAAGCCAGGATCTGCCCTGGTTTTATTTCCTGGTCCTGTCACTCATCCATCTATCCATCCATCCATCCCTTCATCCATCACAAAGCCAGCCTGGTGTTTTTTAGGTGGGTGGGAGGGAGGTGAGGAGGGGGCTGCAGCTGGGTGTCCGCCCTCAAGGACACTCACCTGCCTCCGTCTGTCTGACTGCCCGTCTGTCCTTCCCTGATCTCTTGCTGCAGGGTTTGGTCCAACCCAGCCCTGCCCAGCCGTGCCAGCCTTCCCCGGGGGCTGAGCTCACCCCAGCCAAGCAGGGAGGAGGAGGAGGAGGAGGAGGAGGAGGAGCTAAAAGCCTGCTCACATTGCAATTTCTCTTCCCCCCACCCCACCCCATTTAACACTTGCCATACTGGAACTAAATCGGTGTCTCCAGGAAAGAGATGCCAAAGGGAGCCCCTGGAGGTCATCCAGCTCAACCCCCCCCCGCCGGAAGGAAGCTGAAGTTGAAGAACTTGGATAGTTCTGATTGTGAGCAGTTCAGGATCTTTTGAAGAAGGGGGGGGTGCGTGTTTTAATTTGGAGAAGCAACCCATTCACACACAGAGAGAGATGATAGATTGTGTGCGAGAGTAGATAGATCGAAGATTGATAGATCAATAAAGATAGATAGATAGATAGATAGATAGATAGATAGATAGATAGATAGATAGATAGATAGATATAGGTGATAGACAAGAGAGAGATGATAGATTGTGTGTGAGAGTAGATAGATAGATAGATAGATAAATAGATAGATAGATAGATAGATAGATAGATAGATAGATAGATAGATAGATAGATAGATAGATATAGATGATAGACAAGAGAGAGAGAGATGATAGATTGTGTGTGAGTAGATAGATAGATAGATAGATAGATAGAGATGATAGACAAGAGAGAGAGAGATGATAGATTGTGTGTGAGAGTAGATAGATAGATAGATGATAGATAAATAAATAAATAGATAAGATAGATAGATTGATAGTGTTAGATAGATAGATAAAGATAGACAGATAAGATAGATTAGATAGATAGATTAGATAGATATAGATAATAGACAAGAGAGAGAGATGATAGATTGTGTGTGAGAGGATATAGATGATAGACAAGAGAGATGATAGATTGTGTGCAAGAGAATATAGATATAGATAGATAATAAATTGTGTGTGAGAGAATAGATAGATAGATATAGATAGATAGATTGTGTGCGAGAGAATAGATAGATAGATAGATAGATAGATAGATAGATAGATAGATAGATAGATAGATAGATAGATCCTGGTACAGTGATATCAATAAATTGTACGCTTCAGTTTTCAACAACTGTGATATCTGGCGTGTTGTGTTCCAAATGACGATCCGTCTGTATTCGAAAGTCCCACAAGATCGTCTCCTTCTCATTTTCAAGAACTTTTTGCACTTTATATTCTCTTGACTTTTTGGATACAGGTTAAGTCGTATTTTTTACCTGATGACCAATGGATGATGATGATTATAGATTTACTGTTCAATTCAATTCACAGTCTGGGACTGGTAAAAACTTAACAGTTCAAGTCTTAACCAAGGACCTAAGAGCTGCTAAGGTAGCGTCTGTATTATTATTATTATTATTTTTATTCATTAAATATGAAACTCAGTCAACTGAACATTTAAAAATAAATTTAATTTATACAAAAACCAAAATTTTGGTTTTTGACAACTGTGATTATCTGGCGTGTTGGGTTCCAAGTGACGATCCGCCTGTATTCGAAAGTCCCACAAGATCTTCACCTTCTCGTTTTCGGTAACTTTTCCCACTTTGTTTTCGGATACAGGTTAGGTCGTATTTTTTTTTACCTAAGGACCAGTGGATTAAATTAGGAACTCGGTCGTGTCTAGCTTTGCAATCAGTTTGCGCGATTTTGCTGCACTCACATATTAAATGTGAAACCGTTTCGACTTGCAAAGTCATTGCAAAGTCAGCAGAGAAATTCTAATTATTATTCATAATAATCTTTTATTCATTAAACATGAAACTGAGTCAACTGAAGATTTAAAAACGTATCACAAATAGCATTGACTGGCACCGATGGTTGATGCAGGTTGCTTTTATTATCGTCATATTATTATTGTTATTATTATATTATATATTATATTAAATTATATTACTGTTATTGTTATTACTACTAATACTATTAGTATTAATACTATTACTACTAGTAATACTACTAGTAATACTAATATTACTATGTTATTATTGCTTTATTATATTCACTTGAGAACTGCAATGATTATCATCATATAATAATTATTGCTGCTAGTTGCTATATTATTATATTCACTTAACTGCAATGATTATTATTATATTATTGTTGTTATTGATGCTTTATTTTTTTGATTTGATTTATATGCCGCCCTTCTCGGGACTCAGGCGGCTTACAATGCGTTAAGCAATAGCCTTCATACTTTTTGTATATTTTATACAAAGTCAGTTTATTGCCCCCACAATCCGGGTCCTCATTTTACCTACCTTAGAAAGGATGAAAGGCTGAGTCAACCTTGAGCCTGGCGAGATTCGAACTTGCAGTAATTGCAGGTAGGTGATGTTAATAACAGTGCTTTAGTCTGCTGCGCCACCAGAGCTCTGGTTATTATTATTATTTATTTATTTTATTTTCTTACACAAACAAACACATAATACATCAATCCTTCCGTGTTTCATCTCGGTGTTTCTTCAGTAACTTCTTCTTTTAAATTACTCCTCCTATTTTCATTACTTCCCTTATAATTTCCACTTCTCTATTTCAATATTCCCCCCCCCCGCAAGTACAATACATTTAATACAACGTTCTCCTATTTCGTTATCAAAATCTTTATCTATTTCTCTTTTCTATCCAATCATAAAATTTCCTTGTTATTATTATATTCACTTAACAGCTGATTCACTTAACAACTGCAATGTTATATTATTGGTGTTATAGGTGCTTTATTATTATATTCACTTAACAACAGCCTAATTCACTGAACAACAGCAATGATTCGCTTAACAACCGAGGCAAAAAAGGTCATTAAAATCAGGCACCACTCATTTAAGAACTGCCTTGCTTAGTCGCGGAGACTCCGGGTTAAATTGCGGTCGTTAAGACGAGGATTTACCTTCCTCTGGCTTGAACAGAGAAGGAAGGAAGGAGAGAAGAAGGGAAAAAAAGCCACAATCTTCCCTCGGTCGCCCCTTTTCAACACACAAAATCCAACTGGAAAATAATTTATTATTGGTACTACACAGTCTTCCAACCAGCTCCTTAAAAGACCTCGCCGCCATCACCCAAAGACGGATCCTAGCTTAGCGAGCCTCGTCCGGCGTCGAACACAAATAACATCCAAGCAGCAACTCGTCCGTTTCCTAAATGGACTACAGTTCCAATCATCCCCAACCGCCGACCCCGGTGGCAAGGATTAACGGCCCCATCGGAGGCTCGGGAAGGATGAAAAAAATGGAAAAAAGCAGCCTGAAACATCATCTTTTAATGACCTTTGCGGGGTGGAGTCTGGGCAACTGAATGGAGCTGAGTGTTTTACTGGCCGGATGCCCTTCTTGTCACCAGTGCCGAGTTTTGTTCAGCAGATATATTCTCATTGTGTGAGGGAAATATCTGCCTCTACCTAGGATCGAACTCACAGCCTCCTGATTGTGAGGCGAGAGGCTCCATCTCTAAGCCACCCCACCACTCAAAAATAAAAGCGGCCTTCATCCCTTAAGATAAATCCCTGGGTTTATCCTCTGGGGAAGAAAAATGAAATTTATCCGCCCTTCCTAAATAGCATCCCCTATCGAAAGAAAAATAAAAATAAAATCCCATTGAGGGTGTAACCCAAGGAAAATATTCCTCTTTTTTTTCTCCCCCCACTTTTCCCGTTTCTAAATGAGCCCACAACCGTTCTAAATAAATTTTTTTTGCTTTTATCTCAAGTCCCAGCTAAAAAATAAAAATAAAATCCAGATTTCTCTGCAGAAATTATTTTTCCCTTTTGTAGAGTTTGTTGGCTAAATCGAGAAAAATCTGGCCGGGCAAACGGACGGCGTGTTGGGCGATTAAACCCACGATCTGTTGGTAACTGTTTTCTTCGTAGTTTTTATAAACGGCTTTTAAATCCTGTTTTTCGTAGAGAGCCTTCACGCGATTAATTTTCTCCGGATCCTTTTGACCGTAGTTCTCCTAGGCGGGGATTTCCAAAAAAATAAATAAAATAAAAATTTGGACAGTTTTAAGAGTTAATTTTTCCAACTTTTCTCTCTCTCCCAGGCTGGGTTTGCAGGACCTAACTTTAGAAATTATCCTATTTTTTTGGAATTTGCAGAATTTCAGCTCTTAAGAAATGGTTCTTTTTTTTTTTTTAACGATGTGCTATGGAAATAGTCCTCGACTTATAATGCTTTGTTTAGTGACCGTTCGAAGTTACCACGGCACTGGAAAAAAGCGACTTAGGACCGTTTTTCACACTTATGACCGTTGCGCAATCCCCGTGGCCACATGATCGAAATTCGGATGCTTGGCTATTGACTGACACTTACGACAGTGGCAGTGTCCCGGGGGGGTGTCACGTGATCCCCTTTTGAGACCTTCTGAGAAGCTAAGTCCATGGGGAAGCCAGATTCACTTAACAACCGGGTGACTAACTTAATACCTGCGGCGATTCGCTTAACAACCGCTGCAAGAAAAGTCATAAAATGGGGCGGAACTCACTTCGACCCCGTTCCTAAACTTAACAATTGTAGGAATTTCACTTAACGACTGCGCCAAGACAGGGTGTAAAGCATGACAAAGATCACTTAACAAGGTTCTCGCTTAGCGATGGAAATTTTGGGGCGAATTGTGGTCGTAAATCAAGGAGTAACTAGAAGGGGGTGTGCGAATTTCCAGAGAGTCAGCGGTCGATTTGGGGTCGATTCAGTGGCCGAGTTGGAAAACTCGGTTTGTTGTTTTATAACTAACCAGGTTACCTCCAAAATCTTTCTCTGCTCCAGAGATGCTTGTTTGAGGCTCTGTACCACCAACCAGCTGCATTTGTTATCCTGAATATCCGTCCCTATTTTCCCCGTCACTTGGGGGTCCCCAAAATTGTCGAGGAAATCATCCTGCAGGGAGAAATATAGTAATTCTTTTTAATTTCCGGAATATCTTTTACCGGTCAATCCATGTTTTGGAGACCATTTTCAGGCTGTTTTTCAGCTGTTTTTGACCCGGAAAACAGCTTATTCCTTTGCCATTTTCTGGGCTGTTTTCAGGCCATTTTCAGGCTGTTTTTCGCTGTTTTCAGGCCATTTTCAGGCTGTTTTTCGACTGTTTTTGGCTCGAAAAACAGCCAGTTTCTTTGCTATTTTCTGGGCCGTTTTCCGGCCATTTTTCCGGCCATTTTCAGGCTGTTTTTCAGCTGTTTTTGACCCGGAAAACAGCCTGTTTCTTTGCCGTTTCCTTTGCTGTTTTCCGGCCATTTTCCGGCTGTTTTTCGGCTGATTTTGGCCTGAAAAACAGCCTGTTTCTTTGCCGTTTTTGGGGCAGTTTTCCGGCCGTTTTGGGGGACTTTTTGGGGCCATTTTCAGGTTGGTTTTGGGGCTGTTTTCAGGTTGTTTTGGGGACCATTTTCAGGCTGTTTTGCAGCTGTTTTTGACCCAGAAAACAGCCTGTTTCTTTGCCGTTTTCTGGGCTGTTTTCAGGCCATTTTCAGGCTGGTTTTCGGCTGGTTTTGGCCCGAAAAACAGCCTGTTTCTTTGCTGTTTTCTGGGCAGTTTTCCGGCCATTTTGGGGGGCTTTTGGGGGCCATTTTCAGGCCGGTTTTTGGGCTGTTTTCAGGTTGTTTTGGGGACCATTTTCAGGCTTTTTTTCAGCTGTTTTTGACCCAGAAAACAGCCTGTTTCTTTGCCGCTTTTTGGGCCATTTTCAGGCCATTTTGGGACCAATTTCAGGCTGTTTTTCAGCTGTTTTTGACCTGGAAAACAGCCTGTTTTTTTGCCATTTTCTGGGCTATTTTCAGGCCATTTTCAGGCGGTTTTTCAGCTGTTTTTGACCTGGAAAACAGCCTGTTTCTTTGCCATTTTCTGGGCTGTTTTCCGGCCATTAGGGGAGGGCTTTCTTGGGCCATTTTCAGGCCGTTTTTTGAGTTGTTTTCCAGCTGTTTTTGGGGCCGTTTTTGGGCCGTTTTTCAGAAACCAGAAGAACAGCTGGTGATGGCATGCATGCCCACAGAGAGGGCTCTACGTGCCACCTCTGGCACCCATGCCATAAATTCACCATCACGACTGAAGGTCATCTAGTCCAACCCCTTTTGCGGTTGCTGACAATGAACCCAAACCGGTTTATCTGCACCCTTGCAAAACTTCCTGCTTTTCTGGATTTTTTTCCACCCCCATCCCCACTTAAGACCCAAATTGTTTTTATTCCAGGAATTCCAGGCAGACGTGAAAGACCGGTCAGTTAAAAGTGAATCTTGCACATATTTTTTTTTTAAATACAAAAGGCAGATCAACTTCGAATCTCCCAGGTAAGGGATTTAAGCTAGGAAGTGCAGTACCGGCTTGTTTCCAATAGAGGGCTTCGGAGAACACTGGATTTATTTAGAACCCCAGCAGGTTCCTAGTCCTGATGGAGGCCACCTTTTGCAGAGATGCCGAAAAAAAATCAGGGAAACGAAGGAAACTCGCCAGTTTCGTTCCTCCGAGTCTGCATGTCCCGTGTTCAAATCCCAAGCAATCTTAATTTTTTTAAAAATATTATTATTATTATTATCAAATGTATTTCCTATCCATCTCTTGACCCCAAAACTTGCAAAAACGGTACCTGGATTTGAAAAAATTCCCCCATCTCGAGAAGGATGGCCTTGGCGTGTGCGTGCTCTTCTTCGCTGTCGATGCCAGACTAAGTGAGGAAGAGGAGAAAGAAAAAAAAAATTAAACACAAAACTACATGGATAAACTTTGCAATGAGTTAAGATACAACTTCTAGCATATTCGGCCAAATCTATTTAATTATTTTAATTTTTAATCATTGTTGTGTCTTGTGTTTTTAAATTGGCTGTACACCGCCCTGAGTCCTTCGGGAGAAGGGCGGTATAGAAATAAAATTATTATTATTATTATTATTATTATTATTATTATTATTATTATTATTATTATTATTATTATTATATTCGCCTGTTCCTCGCCCTTAGCTGGGATTGCGGCCGCATTCATTTATCTTAAAAAAAACAACAACAGGTAGTCCTCGACTTATGTCCACAAACCGAGCCCAACATTTCCGTTGTTAAGTGAGACAACTGCTGAGTTTTGCATGATTTGACAACCTTTCTTGCCACAGTTACTAAGTGAATCCCTGCAGCTGAAAGGTGAGTAACCCCGGTTGTTAAGTGAATCCATCTTCCCCCATGGACTCTGCTCGTCAAGACTTTCGCCAAAGGGGAATCACGTGACCTTGGGACACCGTCATAAGTGTGAGTCAGTCGCCAATCAATCGTCTGGATTCTGATCACGTGACCACGGGGAAAGGGCGTAACTCTGAAAAAACCGGTCCTAAGTCGGGTTTTGCAATTCAGGATCGGTCCTAAAGTGGATCGGTCACATAACGGGCTCCGTTTTATGACCTTTTTTTTTTGCCGTGGTTGTTAAGCAAACACTGCAGTTGTTTAAAGTAAATTGCCCCTTTTCAGAAAAAAAAAAAAAAGCAATGGAAAAAGCGATGCAACTTAATGTTTTCTACGCCAAACTTTGGACTCACCATATACATTGCAGCCGCCACCGGTAAATAAAACGAATAATAGGCTGTTTTGTGCTTCACGATGGCTTTGTACCTGCGGAAGGAAGCACAAAGCTTCAGCCTTTTGGAGAAGAAATGGCTCCTTGCAACCGTTCAACAGGATAACAGAGTTCGAAGGGAGCTTGGAGGTCTTCTAGTCCAACCCCAAGGGAGGGAGGGAGGAAGGAAAGCAAAATAACAATATCAGAGCTGGAAGGACCTTGGAGGTCTTCTAGTCCCAACAGGAAGGAAGGAAGGAAGGAAGGAAGGAAGGAAGGAAGGAAGGAAGGAGGGAGGGAGGGAGGGAGGGAGGGAGGGAGGGAGGGAGGGAAGGAAGGAAGGAAGGAAGGAAGGAAGGAAGGAAGGAAGGAAGGCAGGCAAAACAACAGTATATCAGAGTTGGAAGGGATCTTGGAGGTCTTCTAGTCCAACCCCAAGGAAGGGAGGGAGGAAGGAGGAAGGAAGGATGGAAGGAAGGAAGGAAAGCAAAATAATAATATCAGAGCTGGAAGGACCTTGGAGGTCTTCTAGTCCCAACAGGAAGGGAGGGAGGGAGGGAGGGAGGGAGGGAGGGAGGGAAGGAAGGAAGGAAGGAAGGAAGGAAGGAAGGAAGGAAGGAAGGAAGGAAGGAAGGAAGGAAGGAAAAATAACAGTGTCAGAGCTGGAAGGGACCTTGGGGGTCTTCTAATCCAACCCCAAGGAAGGAAGGAGGGGAGGGAGGGAGGAAAAGGAAGGAAGGAAGGACAGGCAGACGGATGAACAGAAGGAAGGCTAGCAGAATAACTAAGTCATAAGTCGTTTTTTTCAATGCTGTTGTAACTTTGGACAGTCACTAAACAAACTTTCGTAAATCAAAGACCACCGGTCTCTTTACTGCAACGTTTTCTCACCTTTCTTCGGTGAAGGAATCCAGATTGATCTGAAATAGATCCAAGGTTTGGCCCAGCTCGGTCTGGTAGGATGACTGGGAAAGAACCGGACAGGGAAAAGAAGAAAAAGATTAAAAGGAAAAAAAAAAGATTTAAAAAAGGAAGAAAAAGACCAGAAACCATCTCTTTTCATCGCTTTTTGGCTTTCTTATTCATCTCTTTATTTGCTTTACACCCCAACTTTCCCGTTCAGGAGCTCATCCCTTCCTCCCTTCTGTTTTGCTGCACAACAACCCTTCAAGGTAGGCTTGGCGAATGAATGAATGGCTCAGTTTCTCAGGGAAGGGAGGACTCGAACCTGGTTCTCTCCATCCCTAGTCCAAAACCTTCTCCACTGCAGGTACTTCTTGACATGCGACTAATAAATGCGACTACAATGCATTTATTCAGTGATTCATTTAACAACTGTGGCAAAAAAATTCGTAAAACGGGGGCAAAATTCAATGGTCTCACTTAACAACGGAAATTTTGGACCCAATTGCCATACGTCAAGGACTATCTGCATTTACAGCGAGTTCGAATCCTCTTAGGTTAATGAAGAGGTGGACTCGAGGGAGGGGGCCGTAGCCACAGAAATTTTGGGCTCCCTTGCCGTCGTAAGTTCGAGGACTAGCTGCACACCTCACAGGCATTCAATATTCAGAGTTGTTGGGTTTTATTTTCTGTCCCTTGAGTTTACGTGAAAATTTGCAATCGGTGGGACTGTTTGGTTCCGGGTGGAATCTTAAAAATCAAAATGTCATGAAACGCAAATAGAAGAATTTATAAATCAACAAATAGAAATGAGGCCAGAAACTTTCCTCCTGGAAATAATTACTGGGTCATATGAAAAAGAAATGAGATACTTAATCATTTACATAATTACAGCAGCACGAATAGTTTTCGCCCCAAACCGGAAAAACGACGACATATCATTAGAAGACAATGCGATTAGAAAAATTATGGAGTGTGTGTAAATGGATAAGCTCACGAAGGAGATACAAAAAAAAGATGAAACAGAATATTATTTAGTCTGGGAGAAATGGTATAAAAGGTTGGGGGAAAAGGGAAAAAAAAATAATGGTTAAATTAGGTGGAAAAATATAGAAAATAAATGGGAAGAAATAAAAATTGTGGAAAGGAAATTAGGTACATGTTTATGTCAAATGTAAATAGAATAATTAGAATAATAGAATATATTATAATGGTATATATATATATATATATATATATATATTATATATATATATATATATATATATGATATATTAGAAATTTTTCCTCAAAAAGGAAGAAACAGCTGCGATCTCACATTGCTCCTAGAAGCACGAAGCCGAAAACACCAGCCTGAAGATGACGAATGAGACTTCGTCGAAACGTCGCCAAGACACTTCCAATTTTACGCGGGAGAAAACCGAATAACCAAAGACCTACATACAAATACCCGCGAAAACCTCAGAAAACATATATTAGAAATATAGGTATAAAAGTTATATTAAGATAAGAAAGAGAAAATGTATAAATATGGATTACTGATGCGAAGATGTTGAAAAGAAGATGTAAATATCTGTTTTTGTTTGTTTTTTTTAAAAAAACTGTTTAATAAAAGAAAAAAAAAAGAAAAAAATCGTAATGTCACAAAAATTCAATTTATTCGGGCCCTCCGCAGTTTCTCGGGGGCCCCCAAATAAAACAGTCAAATGTAACGGTCCTCAACGAGGAAAGTTTTTCTGCTCACCTGAAGAAAAAGCTCCATCAAATTCAGATAGTACGCCTGGTCTCGGCAGTGCCGCCTCAGCAGCTGGTAAACGCTGGACTCCATCAGAAACGCGTCGTTCACGGCGTCCAAACCGATCCCTTCCTACAAGAGAAGATGCCAAAAAAAAAAAAAAAAAGGGGAACCAGCGATTACCGGGGAAATCAAGTCAGCCCCAAATCCTAGTTTTGACTTCTTTGCAAAAAAAAAAAAAAGAAAAAAGAAGAAAATGCAGTCTCTAAACATATAATTCTCGACTTAAGACCACAATTATTATTTTTTTTCGAGAGGGCATCGGAATTGCATTTTTTTAAAAAAAATGTGTGCCAGTGTGTTTATAGAAAAAAGTGACAATAAACGTTATTTTTTCCTCTCCTCTCCGCTCTATTCTATTCTATTCCATTCTATTCCATTCCGTTTTTTGTATTCTATTCTATTCCATTCTATGTTTTTCTATTCCATTCTATTCTATTCTATTCTATTCTATTCTATTCTATTCTATTCTATTCTCCAAAATTCTATTTTATTCTATTTTATATTTCTCTTCTGTATTCTATTCCTATTCTCTTCTATCTCTTCTCTTCCATAATTCTATTCTATTCTATTCTCCAAAATTCTATTTTATTCTATTCTATATTTCTCTTCTGTATTCTATTCCTATTCTCTCTTCTTTCCATAATTCTATTCTATTCTATTCTCCAAAATTCTATTCTATTCTATTCTAATTCTTATTTCTATTTCTATTTCTATTTCTATTTCTATTTCTATTTCTATTTCTATTTCTATTTCTATTTCATTCTAATTCTATTCTATTCTATTCTATTCTATTCTATTCTATTCTATTCTATTCTAATTCTTATTCTTATTCTATTCATTTCTTTCTAATTCTATTCTATTCTATTCTATTCTATTCTATTCTATTCTATTCTATTCTATTCTATTCTATTCTATTCTATTCTATTCTATTCTATTCTGTATTCTCTTCCTATTCTCTTCATCTTACTCTATCCTATCCTATCCTCTTCTCTTCTCCTCTTCTCTCTTCTTATCCTATCCTATCCTAATTAACCCCCAAATTTTTCTTGCCAAGTGATATATTTGTTAAGGAGTTTCGCCCCATTTTACCCCCTTTCTGGCCACAGCGGTTCAGCGAATCACTGCCGTCGTTAAGCCAGCCACATGGTTGTTAAGTGAATCTGGCTTCCCCACCCCCACCTCGTGGATTTTTGCTTGTCAGGAGGTCGCCAAAGGGGATCCCTTGATATCCCTCTCCCCCCCCCCATGGGGACTCCTCAACCGTCATAAACAGGAGTCCGTGGGCGAAGTGTCTGAATTTTTGATCCCGCGACCCTGAGGGATCGGAAATCCTTTTTTCAGCGCCAAACGATTTCCTCGTCTTTCAGTAGCAAGGCTTTTCGGATCCGCTCGAATTACCTGTCTGTACCAGCAAGGTCGGCCTCGCCGTGTCACCGAAGAGTCCATGATATCATCGGCGATGAGGAAAAACGCCTGGAGCTGCAATTCAAAATCAGACGTTGGCCCTTGGCAAAAGGAAAGACATTCTTTCTGCTTTGCCAATCGGGGAGCTTTCATTGAGAAATCGCGGTGTTGAGGACTAGTAACACGAGAAGGCTGAGGTGGACACCAAGGAAAGAGCGATTCTGTTCCCGCCCCCACAAAAAAACTCAGCCGGCCGTTTAAAACCCATCCACAAAAAAGTCACAAAGGAATTTTTTACCAGTTCAACGCACCAACCCACAATGAGGGCGATGCGGAAAGTCTTTGGGTCGGGCTGGTTCGGTTTGGCAAGTTCCCGGATAGCGGCCACCACCGTCAATCCGCGGTTGTATTTACCGCCGACGGCGTTATATTCGATCACCTACGGGGGGAAAAAAAATCCAAAAAAGACAGTAAGGGAATTGTGACGATTGTGTCTAAAAAGAGATCCCATTTCAGCTGAATCCCACTGGTTTGTTTGGTTTTTTTTGATCTCCTCTTGGTCTCCAGCTCACCCCACTGGGCATTACAGCTAGTCCTCGACTTACAACCAATATATCAGGGTGGATAAAAATCAATGATTTTTTAAAAAAATCAAAAAAATCAGATTTTTTGATTTAAATCGGATTTTTTTGATTTTTATCAAATTTATTTTAATAAAAAACTTTTGGGGTCAAAATCTATCGTAAGATAGTTTTCTATTTAAGATACATAAATAATTTAGTTTATTCAGCATGAAACGGAGCTTAGTTATGTAGCATGAGGCTGTCTATTCTGCAACACTGGGACTATCGGTGAGTCAACAGTGGGTCAAAGGAGTAGCAGAGATGACAGCTGCTCTTTAAAAATTATGATTTAAATCAAGTTGATTTAAATCAAGCCTTTTTACTAGTGATTTAAATCATGATTTAAATTGTGATTTAAATCAACTCGATTTAAATCAAATCCACCCTGAGATATATATATATATATATATATATATATATATATATATATATATATTCTTACTTCTTCGTAGGGTTTAAACATTGGTTACGTAGGGAAAACCTGGCTAGAAGAAAAACATATATATATATATGTATATGTATATGTACATTTTCTTAACTTTTCATCATCAACAATATCTGATCAAAGACTGTTTGTTTGTCCTTTATAAAAAAAAGTCATAATTTTTCATGTCTTTATCGTACCTAGATTGTACTTGCAATGAGGTCACTAGGATATAGTATAAATGCCCTGATCTTCAAACTCTTGCTTAGATTTTAATTTCCCTTCACTGTCCAATTTTTTCCCCTAATTTTATTGCAAATCAGGATTTTGCACACAGAAAAAAAAAAAGAGCTTCGGATCTCACCCTTTTCAGCCTGTTGACGGCATCGGACAATTCAGGGACGTGAAGTTCGTTTTCCAGCAGGTCTCGGACAATTTGGGGGAAGAAATTCATAAATTCTTCCTTGTCCGTACTTGCAGAGTGATGATTTCCACCTTCGCTCATGTTTTTCCAACTAAACCGACCTGAGGGAGGAAAAAAAAAATAAAGGGTTGTGTTAAAACCGCTCGTGTCCATCTTATCGGGCTCGTGGCAGCCCCGTGGGTTTAATCCAGTTTTTCCCGAGTAGATAAATCTTAACGATCGGTTTTATTTCAGTAAACAAACTCAGGTGCTGTCTGAGCTTGTTTTGTTTTCCTGCGGACGTCTCGTGACCCAGGTAGGTAACATCATCAGTCCTAGAAGGGAGAGGGGTTTACGGAGGGAGGAGGAGGAAGAGGAGGAGGACTGCGGGGTCCTTGGTTTGGTGGCTTTCTTGCAGACGTTTCGTGACCCAGCTGGTAACATCATCAGTACTAGAATGGAATGGAGCTTGCAGGGAGGAGGAGGAGGAGGAGGAGGAGGAGGAGGAGGAGGAGGAGGAGGAGGAGGAGGAGGAGGAGAAGGAGAAGGGGAAGGGAAGGGGAAGGGGAAGGGGAGAAGAGAAAGAGGAAGAGGAAGAGGAAGGGGAAGGGAAGGGAAGAGGAAGAAGAAGAGGAAGAGGAAGAGGAAGAAGAAGAAGAAGAAGAAGAAGAAGAAGAAGAAGAAGAAGAAGAAGAAGAAGAAGAAGAAGAAGAAGAAGAAGAAGAAGAAGAAGAAGAAGAAGAAGAAGAAGAAGAAGAGGAGGAAGAGGAAGAGGAGAAGAACTGTGGGGTCCTTGGTGATCTCCGAGCTTGGTTGTTTATTTGCAGACATTTCATGACCCAGCCAGGTAACCTCATCAGTGCTAGCAGGAGGTGGGGTTACATTATATATAAACAGCAAACCCCTCTCCCTTTCTAGCACTGATAAGGTTACCTAGCTGGGTCATGAAACGCCTGTAAGAAAACAACCAAGCTCAGAGAGGACCAAGGACCCTACAGTCCTCTTTCTCCTCTTCTTCTTCCTCCTCCTCCTCCTCCTCCTCCTATTTTTATTCTATCTTAAGCCCTCTAGAGTCACCCCATACAGCAAATTGGGTGATATATAAATTTATTTATTTATTTATTTTTTTAAAAAAGCTCTTGAGCTAACATACACGATCATCCCCATTTCCAAGTGATTGTTGTTTTTTTAAAAAAATATATAAATAAATTACGATAAAGGGATAGTGAATTCCAAACAGGAAAAAAAAAAAAAAACACCCCCAAAAGGTTCTTTAACGATTTCCCCCCCCCAAAAGACTTTCTGCTTGCTATTTCGGCCCTCTTTCCATATTGCTAAAACTTTCAGAAACTGGCCCATAAAAAGGACGATTTTTGCAGCCAAAATCAGAATGTGCAATTGGAGCATTCCCTGGGAGGTCTTCAAACTTAGCTGATCGTTTTACTCAAGCGGGATCTTGCGCAGGAGGCGGGTTGGTCTAGATGACCTCTGAGGTCCATTTTGACGGTCCGATCAATTCCCAGCGCTTTTCATTCCCTTTGCTCCCTTTGCGAACGATGGGTACCTATCAAAGGCCTTTATCTTTATTAAACATTTTTTTTTAAAAAAAATATTCTACACCTTAATTCATTCAATAAAATAAAATAAATTTTATTGTGCGCGTTAAAAAAAAATAAATTTAATCGTGTGCCTGCTGAATTTTTAAACGATTTATAAAACTGGCATTTTTTTCCCCCTCCTCTTCCTATATAAGCAAAATGATAAAAAGAAATCACTCACCTTTTTGTTGTTTTGCAGGGGAAAAAATGGGAAAACTCCCAGCTTTGCGGGAAAATGCGGAAAAAATGCAGAAAAACAACCTTGCCAGGTAGGAAAAGGCGACCCTCGCGATGGTTGGCAGCTTTGCAGCTCGCTCTCCAAAAAAATCCTAAGGCAGAAATGGAAAAGCGACGTTTGCCACTCGCTCCCAAGGTTGCAAATATCATGTGGACTAGCACCTTAGCTTGAAAAATGGGTTTTTGCCAAGGTTATTCCCCTTTTGCAAAGAAAAAAAGGGGATTCTTAACCACAGCCATCAAAAATGCAGAATATAATACAGGTGATTTTTTTTTTAATGCATCACTTACCTTTCCTAACCTTCTAAGCTTATCTCAGCACTAAAGACAGATTTTGCCCGCTATGGTATTAAATGCCTATGGGCGCCGAAATACCCTCTGGGTTTTGTAGTCCTCGCGCTGACAGAACGCCGCGGAAACGACGCAGGCGGGGACTACGACGCCCAGAAAGCCTCGCGGGAAAGGAAAAAAAAAAAAAGAGGTCGAAGTAAGTCTTTTAGACCATAGGCAGCGTCAAGCCTCTGGATTGGCCTTCTCCATCGGATGAAGACGGGCCATGGAGTTAAGGGCCAATCGGAGACAGAGAGAGGAGGAGCTTGAAGCTCGAGGGAGTCGGGGATTGGCTCGAAAGGGGAAAAGGGCGGGGTTGGAAGATGGGGTGCCTTCCTGGTTCTATTTGTGAGTAGATTTAACCCTATGGGGTGGGGAAAGAATTAGGAAGGGTGCAATTTTTCTTTCTTTCCTTTCCTTTCCTTTCCTTTTTTTCTTTCTTTCTTTTTCTCTTTCTTTCTTTCCTTTCCTTTCTTTTTCCTTTCTTTTTCTCTTTCTTTCTTTCCTTTCTTTTCCTTTCTTTTTCCTCTTTCTTTCTTTCTTTCCTTCCTTCCTTTTTTCTTTTCTTTTTCTTTGTTTCTTTTTCTTTTTTTCCTTTCTTTTCTTTTTCCTTTCTTTCTTTCTCTTTCCTTCCTTTTTTCTTTCCTTTCTTCTTTGTGTCTTTTTCTCTTTTTTTTCCTTTCTTTTTTTTTCATAATCATAATCATAAGTTTATTTGTCAAGCATATATAAGGTAACAGGTAAAAGTATAAACATAATTTGAATACATGAAAATAGTCAGTAAAAAGGAATATTAGGACAGGGACGGTAGGCACGCTGGTGCACTTATGCACACCCCCTTTTCTCTTTCTTTCTCTTCCTTCTTCCTTTCTGTTTTTCCTCCTTCTTCCTCCTTTCCAATTTTTTCTTTTTCTTTCTCATTCTCCTGTCTCTCTCTCTGTTTCTCTGTTTCTTTCTCTCTCTCTCTCCTCCTTCTGTCTGTCTGTTTGTCTCTCTCTTTCTCATTCTGTCTCTCTCTCTGTTTCTTTTTCTCTCTCTCCTCCTGTCTGTCTGTCTCTTTCTCTTTCTCATTCTTCTGTCTCTCTCTGTTTCTTTTGCTTTCTCTCTCTCTCATTCTTTGTTTCTTTCTCTTTTTTCTTTCTTCCTCTCTCATTTTCCTTCTTCCTCTTTCTTTTTTGTCTCTTTTGTGCTCTTTCTTTGTCTTTTTCTTTCTTATTCACTTTCTGTTTCTCTCTCTTTTTCTGTCTCTTTTTCTTTCTTTCTCATTCTTTCTTTCTGTCTCCTTTTATTTTTTTTTCTGTCTCTTTCTGTCTCTTTTTCTTTCTTTCTCTCATTCTCTTTCTGTCCCTTTCCTTCTCTTTCTCTTTCTCTTTCTTTCTCTTTCTTTCTTTCTTTCTTTCTTTCTTTTTCTTTCTTTCTTTTTCTTTCTTTCCTTCCTTCCTTTCTCTCCCTCTCTCTCTCTCTCTCACTCACTCACTCACAGAGAGCAGGAAAAGCCTGACACACTTACAGGGAAAGTTGCCAGATGTTAATCCCGCCAATAACATTCAGAAAACTGGTTTGGGGGAAAAGGAGACTTAGCCTCAGCTGCCCCTGTTTCTTAACCGCAAGCTCTGAAGGAGGAATTGCAAACTTTTGAATACGACACAGGCTTCTGCTGCTCCTGCTCCTGGGTGTGGTTGTGGGTTTTTATGCAGGGGTGGAAATCTGCCTAGGAAAGGGGACGGCCCAGAGCTCTTAGTCCAGCTGCCTTTTTCCGCTTTGCTTACCACTCCCCAGCAGTCTGGAGAAAACAGGGGGAAAAAAAGGGGAAAATAAAGACTTCAACAGGCCTGTATGACCTCTGCCTTTTTTATATTTTCTCAGCCAGCCAGGGCTTGGGATGAGGCTGCCCCTCCCAGAGGCTGGGGGAAAAAAGGGGGAGGCCAGGGAGCAAAGGTTGAGGACTCCAGTTGCAAAACAGGGAAGATGTGGCTGTCCTGACATTCAAAGCTTGTTTTAAGGATTGTGACCTTTGCAGCAAAACATTCAAGTTGGGTGAAGGTTGCACCAGGGGAGGCAGTGTGGGAAGACTTAAGTGCGTTTTTCTGCTCTCAAATTACAGAGCAGAGGAAAAAAATATATATATATCTGCTAAGATCTCCCTGGGTCAGATCCGGAGAGGTTGCAAAACCGGGCCCAAAGAGAAGCAGGAAAATCAGCTTGAACGGAAGTCAGAAAAGTCAAATTTTTTTCAGTGCTGTTTGTAAAACTTCCAACGGTCCCTTAATCGGTTGGGTAACGCCAAGAGTGGCAGAGAGTAGAATAAGAAAAATAAATAAAGCAAGGGTAGGAAGCTATCTATCTGCAACATTGCTGGGTTGGATACTCTGTACCAAAAAAGAAAGAAAAGAAATGCTTTTGAAATTTACCCAGATTTGTTTCAAAGGTTCTTACTAGCTCCTTTCCTTTCCTTTCCTTTCCTTTCCTTTCCTTTCCTTTCCTTTCCTTTCCTTTCCTTTCCTTTCCTTTCCTTTCTTCCCTTTCTTTTCCTTCCTTTCCTTTCCTTCCCCTTTCTCCCCTTCCTTTCCTCCTTCCCCTTTCTTCCTTCCCTTCCCTTCCCTTCCCCTCCTTTTCCTTCCCTTCCCTTCCCTTTCCTTTCCTTTCCTTTCCTTTCCCTCCCTTCACTTCCCTTTCCTTTTCCTCCCTTCCTTTCCTTCCCCTTTCCTCCCTTTCCTTTCCTCCCTTCCCCTTTCCTCCCTTCCCTTCCCCTCCTTTCCCTTCCTTTCCCTTTTCCTTCCTTTCCTTGCCTTCCCTTTTCTTCCTTTCTTTCCTTTCCTTCCATTCCTTTCTTCTATCTTCCTTCCCTTCCCTTCCTTTCCTTTCTTCTATCTTCCTTTCCTTCCCCTTTCCTTCCTTTCCTTCCTCCTTCCCTTTCCTTTCCTCCCTTTCCCTTCCCTCCTCCTTTCCCTTCCCTTTTCTTTTCCTTCCTTTCCTTTCCTTCCTCTTTTCTTCCTTTCCTTTCCTTCCATTCCTTTCTTCTTCTTCCTTTCTTTCCCTTCCCTTTCCTTCCTTTCCTGTCTTCTATCTTTCTTTCCTTCCCCTTTCCTTCCTTTCCTTTCCTTTCCCTCCCTTCACTTCTCTTTCCTTTTCTTTCCTTTCCTTTCCTTCCCCTTTCCTCCCTTTCCTTTCCACTCTCCTTCCTTCCTTCCCTTTTCTCCCCGTCACTTTAGTTTCCTTCCCTTTGTACTCTATTCTTCTTTCCTTCTCCAGATTTTTCTTCTCTTCTTCTTCCAAGGAAACCAAAGAAGTGCACAAGGAACATTGCACATTCCCAGGCGCTCCCTTCTCCCCCTCCCTTTCCCTCTCTCTGGGTTGGCCTACCTCGGAGGGTTCCAATGAAGATAAAAGGGGAAGGGGGAACCCCCAGTAAAGTTTGCTGCCTGCATCTTCCGGGGGAAAAGCAGAAATCCCCCCCCCATTCTGCCAGAGGTATACAACAATTAGGGTAAAAAATACGATTGGACAACAGAATAATAAAGGCGTTTTGAGACAGACCGGCTTGGACGGCATCCCTTACAAGGAACGGGGTGGACTTGGGACTCAGCTAATTATTGTTTAACTAGGAAAGTCAGCATTAACTTCGAGGTGGAAACTGACAAGACGTTTTAGAAGGAGGAGGAGGAAGATGGACGGTGGGTCTCAAACTGGTGCTGGGGAAAAAGGATGGGTGGGTTTCTGCAAAGGCAGAACGCAAAGACCTCAAACGCCAGAGTTGGAGACCCTGCCGTTAATTATTTGAGGGCCGCCACAATATTTGAGGGGCTGCTACGGAGAGGAGGAAGGGAGTCCAGCTATTTTCCAAAGCACCTTTGAAGGCCAGACAAGGAACAATGGATGGAAACTGAGCAAGGAGAGATTCAACCTGGAAATAAGGAGGAATTTCCTGACAGTGAGAACAATCAATCGATCGAATAGAAATAGAAGTTGCCTTCAGAAGCTTCATCCCTGGAAGCTTCCAAGAAGAGACTGGACTGCCATCTGTCAGAAATGGTGTAGGGTCTCTGCTTGGGCAGGGGGTTGGACTAGATGACCTACAAGGTCCCTTCCCACTCTGTTCATCTGTATCTAATTATGCATTGCTCCGTAAGCGAGCTCAGCTACATCTTTTCGCTCTCTCACCAGCAGGTGCCCGGATCCACTCCCAAGACATGGCCACCCTTGCCCAGGAGCTGGGCACGGCTTTCTTCCAACGGCAGCAGCTTCCCGCCTCCATGGCCGACACGTTTTTGGAACATCTGTGCCTGCTGGATATTGACTCCGAGCCCATCACCGCCCGGAACACTAGTATCGTCTGCACCATTGGTGAGACGTCGTGCATTATTTTTCAACATATTTTTAAATATTTTTAATTGGTTGGTTATCTTAAACGGGGGCCAAATTAACATATATCCTTTTAACTGTTTTTAATGTTTGTATTGTATGTTTTTAATCTGGCTGTACACCGCTCTGAGTCCCTCGGGAGAAGGTGCAGTATATAAATTCGAAATAAAATAAATTATGGGAAAAGGGACGGGAAAGGACAGAGCTGGCACACTCCTTCCTCGGTGGTCCCTGCGTAGTTTTGCAAGAAGGATGCTTTGGGGGGGGGGGAAATCAAATGTTTTGGTCGCCATGATATAAATAAGATGCTGAGACTCTAGAAAAGAGTGCAGAGAAGAGCAACGAAGAGGATTAGGGGACTGGAGGCTAAAACATACGAAGAACGGTTGCAGGAACTGGGTATTTCTAGTTTAATGAAGAGAAGGACTAGAGGAGACATGATAGCAGTCTTCCAATATCTCAGGGGCCGCCCCAAAGAAGAGGGAGTCAAGCTATTCTCCAAAGCCCCTGAGGGAAGGACAAGAAGCAACGGGTGGAAAACTAATCAAGGAGAAAAGCAACTTAGAACTAAGGAGAAATTTCCTAACAGTGAGAACAATTAACCAGGGGAACTCCTTGCCACCAGAAGTTGTGAATGCTCCAACACTGGAAGTTTTTAAGAAGAGCCGAGGTGGCGCAGTGATTAGAGTGCAGTACTGCAGCTACTTCAGCAGACTGCTAGTTCAGCAGATCAGCGGATCAAATCTCACCAGCTCAAGGTTGACTCAGCCTTCCATCCTTCCGAGGTGGGTAAAATGAGGACCCAGATTGTTTGGGGGGCAATATGCTATTTAGTATACTGTCTTTGGTGTAAGCCGCCCAGAGTCCTCCTCGGAGAGTGGGCGGCATAGAAAATATGAATAATAATAATAATAATAATAATAATAATAATAATAATAATAATATATGAAGAACAGTTGCAAGAACTGGGTATGTCTAGTTTAATGAAGAGAAGGACTAGGGGAGACATGGCAGAAATCTTCGAATATCTCAGGGGCTGCCCCAAAGAAGAGGGAGTCAAGCTATTCTCCAAAGCCCCTGAGGGAAGGACAAGAAGCAATCGGGTGGAAACTAATCAAGGAGAAAAGCAACTTAGAACTAAGGAGAAATTTCCTAACAGTGAGAACAATTAACCTGTGGAACAACTTGCCACCAGAGGTTGTGAATGCTCCAACAATGGAAGTTTTTAAGAAGAGGCTGGATAACCATTTGTCTGAAGTGGTGTAGGGTTTCCTGCTTAAGCAGGGGGTTGGACTAGAAGACCTCCAAGCTCCCTTCCAACTCTGATATTCTATTCTATAAAAGGGCTGGAGAATTGGGGAAGGGAGGGATTGTCCTGGCAGATGGCAGGGGGTCCTGTACATTTTGGGGCCCTGTCTTACAGGGGGGCCCTGAGGAGACTCCCAGAAAGCAGTTTTATCTCTTCCCTCTCCGTTGTAGGCCCAGCATCGCAAAAGGTGGAGATGTTACGTGAAATGATCAAAGCCGGCATGAATATCGCACGGTTGAATTTCTCGCATGGATCGCACGAGGTATCAGTGAGAGAGGGAGGGAGGGAGGGAGGGAGGAAGGAATAGATTTAAACAGATGGAGAAGGAAGGAAGGAAGGAAGGTGAGGGAGGAGTGAAGGGAGTAGAAAAGAAAAGAGAGAATGAGAGAATGAGAAAGAGAAAAGAGAAAGAAAGGGAAGGAAGGAAGGTGATTAGAAGGGAAGGGAGGAATTAGAAGGGAAGTAAGTAAGGAATTAGAGGGAAGGTAGGAATGAGGGAAGGAAGGATTAGAATGGAAGGAAGGGAAAAGGAGGAAAGAAGGAAGGAAAGGGAGAAATTAGAAGGGAAGGAAGGAAGGAAGGAAGGAAGGAAGGAAGGAAGGAAGAGAGGAATTAGAAGGGTACTAAAAAATTAGAAGGCAAGGTAGGAATGAGGGAAGGAAGGATTAGAAGGAAGGAAGGAAAAAAGGAAGGAAGGAAGGAAAGGGAGGAATTAGAAGGAAGGTAGGAATGAGGGAAGGAGGGATTAGAAGGGAGGGAGGAAGGAAAAGGAGGAATTAGAAGGGAAGATAGGAATAAGGGATGGAAGGAAGGAAGGAAGAAAGAAAGAAGGAAAAGATTAGAAGGAGAGAGGAAGGAACAATGAAAAGGGGAAGGAAGGAGAGCAGAAGGAAGGAACAAATCGGGGGAGAGGAGGGAAGGAAGGAAAGAAGGAAAGGGAAAGATTAGAAGGGAAGAAAGAGAGGAAGGATCAAGTCGAAGAGAGGGAGGGAGGAAGGAAGGAAAGGAAGGGAGGAAGGTTGGTTTTCTGAGATGGCAATGAAGGGGTGCAGACCTTGAATTCAATTTAAATAAAGAAAATAAAAATAAATTGAATGAAATGAATTTTATATAAATTTAAATAAATAAATAAAATTTTCATTTCATTTCAGTACCACGCAAAGTCCATTGCAAACATCCGGGAAGCCACGCAAAGCTTTGCCAGGAATCCTCTCTTCTACCGGCCCGTGGCCATCGCTTTGGACACCAAAGGCCCTGAAATTCGGACAGGGTTGATTAAAGGGGTAAGATTGAGGGATAAATCCCCCGGCCCCAATTGGTGTCGTTCAGCGACGCCCAGTCGTTAAGGGAGTAACACTACCTTGCATCCGATTCGTGATCTTTTGACAGGGCGAGAATAAAGAAGCCGAACTGGTTAAAGGATCCCGACTGATTGTGACCACCGATCCAGCTTTCCGAGAACAATGTGATTCGCAGAATATTTGGGTGGATTACGCCAACTTGCCGAAAGTTGTTAACGTCGGTGGGAGGATCTTTATTGACGATGGGCTGATTTCCTTGCTGGTCAAGGAACTCGGTAAGTGTTCTCCCACTGGCAGGGTGGATCTCTTTCTCTACTTATATCAGTGCTTCTCAATCTTGGCAATTTTAAGACAGGTGGGCTTCAATTCCCAGAATCCCCCAGCCAGCATCTTTTAAGATGGATGGATTTCAACTCCCAGAATCCCCCAGCCAGTGTGCTTTAAGACGGGTGGGCTTCAACTCCCAGAATTCCCCAGACAGCATCCTTTAAGATGGGTGACTTCAACTCCCAGAATCCCCCAGCCAGCATGCTTTAAGATAGATGGACTTCAACTCCCAGAATCCCCCAGCCACCCCGCTTTAAGAGGGATGGACTTCAACTCTCAGAATCCCCCAGCCAGCATCTTTTAAGGTGGGTGGACTTCAACTCCCAGAATCCCCCAGCCAGCATGAGTTAAGATAGATGGACTTCAACTCCAGAATCCCCCAGCCACCCCGCTTTAAGAGGGGTGGGCTTCAACTCCCAGAATCCCCCAGCCAGCATCCTTTAAGATGGGTGGACTTCAACTCCAGAATCCCCCAGCCAGCTTGAGTTAAGATAGATGGACTTCAACCCCAGAATCCCCCAGCCAGTGTGCTTTAAGAGGGGTGGACTTCAACTCCCAGAATCCCCAGCCAGCTTGAGTTATGATAGATGGACTTCAACTCCCAGAATCCCCCAACCAATTGAAATCTGGAAATCTCTATCTTGTGTCTCCATTCCTCACCAACCTTTGTTTCTGCACCTAACCACTAGGCGCTGACAGTTGTGTCGTCGAGGTGGAGAACGGTGGGATGCTCTGTAGCCGGAAGGGAGTCAACTTGCCGGGGGCTAAAGTGGACTTGCCGGCGTTGTCAGAGCGGGACAGACACGACCTGGAGTTCGGGGTGCAACAGGGGGTTGATATGATCTTCGCTTCCTTTATCCGCAAGGCTGAGGATGTGATTGGCATCCGACAGGCGCTGGGAGAACGCGGGCGTCACATCAAAATCATCAGCAAGGTCGAAAGCCACGAGGGGGTCAAAAGGTAAAATCCTCAAAAGCTCCTTTTTCTGGACTTAACCCGTCATCCTCGAGCGGCTCAGCTGGGATCGTCAGAGGCTTTTAAAGGCATTTTTTCTACAACCTCTTTGGCCGAAGGTTGTAGGGAAAAAAAATGCCTTTAAAAGCCTCTGACGATCCCAGCTGAGTTGCCTGATCGTCAGAGGCTTCTAAAAGCATTTTTTTCTGCAACCTCTTAAGGTTGTAGAAAAAATGCTTTTAAAAGTAAAAAAAAAAAAAAAAAAGTTGGCCACGCCCACCCAGTCACATTACCCCCACCAAACCACGCCCACAAAACAAGCCACACCCACAGAACCGGTAATAGAAAAATTTTTAGAACCCATCTCTGCTATGGCCCACAATTGGGTCCTGAATTTCTGTTGCTAAGCGATTGTTAAAAGACTAATCCCTGATTATATTACCTATTTTTGGCCTGGTCGTTAAGCAGATCCCTGCAGTTGCTAAGTGAGTCATGTCGTTAAGTGAATCCGGCATCCCCCATTAATTTTGCTTGTCGGAAGCCAGGTGGGAAGGTCACAAACGGGGAATCACGTGACCCCTGAACTCTGCAACCGTCGTAAATACAGGTTGCCGAGCACCCAAATTTGGACTGCACAGTTGTGGCGAGTGCTGCGATGGTCGTAAGTGGGAGGACCACCTCAGGAGTCACTTTTTTTTCCAGTGCCGTTGTAACTTTGGTTACTAGATGGACGGTCGTACATTGAGAATTACCCGTCGTTGGGTTGAGCTGGGCTGTAATCTTTGTCTCCAGGTTTGATGAGATCCTGGAAGCCAGTGACGGCATCATGGTGGCGCGTGGGGATCTGGGGATCGAAATCCCTTCTGAGAAGGTTTTCCTGGCTCAAAAGATGATGATTGGCCGTTGCAACCGGGCGGGCAAAACCGGTTATCTGTGCCACACAGGTGAGATGCACCAAATGCCACACCTGGAAGGTTAGGGCATTACCTTCCATCAACAGGTGGGACAGAAGGGATGCAAAAGCCAACAGGCTTTAAGAGGGGTGGACTTCAGTTCCCAGAATCCCCCAGCCAGCACGCTCTAAGGTTGGTGGACTTCAGTTCCCAGAATCCCCCAGCCAGCATGCTCTAAGGTTGGTGGACTTCAGTTCCCAGAATCCCCCAGCCAGCGTGCTCTAAGGTTGGTGGACTTCAGTTCCCAGAATCCCCCAGCCAGCATGCTCTAAAGTTGGTGGACTTCAGTTCAGAATCCCCCAGCAGCGTGCTCTAGGTTGGTGGACTTCAATTCCAGAATTTCCCAGCCAGTGTGCTTTAAAGAGGGGACTTCAACTCCCAGAATCCCCCAGCCAGCTTGAGTTAAAATAGATGGACTTCAACTCCCAGAATCCCCCAGCCAGCTTGAGTTAAGATAGATGGACTTCAACTCCCAGAATCCCCAGCCAGCATGCCCCGCCCCACTTCGACATCTCAGTCTCTGCAGCTGAGCCGCCACTTTCTTCTGCCAGATGCTGGAGAGTATGGTGAAGAAACCTCGGCCCACGAGGGCCGAAAGCAGCGATGTGGCCAACGCCGTTCTGGACGGGGCCGACTGCATCATGCTATCCGGGGAGACGGCCAAGGGAGCCTACGTGGTGGAGGCTGTGCGAATGCAGCATGCGGTAAGTGTGTGTGGGAGGGGGCTTCCCTTTTGGAAACGGAGGTTGGTCCGAGCACGGCAGAAGAGGAAGAAGGGAGGAGGAGGGAAGAGGAAAAACAGACGACGAGTCTAGGAATCCAGGAATCTTCGAAGCAAAATATTCAGGGGTGGGCTTCAAAAATTTTAGCAAGGGATTCTCTGCCCTGTTGCTGGGGTGGGCGTGGTCATGGTGGGCGTGGCCTAGTTGGCCTCCTGCACCACGGGCGACTTTCCTCGAGCCTCGAGCGGAAAACGGCCTCCCCAGGCTCTGGAGGCCGGAAACGGCCCTCTGGAGGTCTTTCCCGAACCTCCGGTAGG